ATAAAAAGAATACATTTATTTTTTCCATGTCTTTACACTAAAAAATCAGAAATAAGGCCAAGAAAACAATAGGTAAAATTATTAGATTCTTATGAAATCTGATACCTTTTAACTAGACTTTTTCCAGTCATTCCTACTAATAAGGTAAAAAACCCCAGAGAAGTTAATCAATACAAAGTAGAAAGGAAAGTATTTAAACTGAAATAAAACACATCTTTTCTTCTGGCTGAGGCATTGTTTTAAAATTTTTTGTAACTTCAGAGATACCTCTGATTCCTCTCACATTTTTTAAATATGTAACCATTCCTTTCAAGGTTAGAAACATTATGTACAGTCTGTCTCTAAATTTATATGTGCAAATTAATTTTTCACCTGTTCAAAAGTGACCTGTGACTAAAAAGGTATCATTTCCATCTGATCTTATAAGCAAAACTGTCATTGTACTTAAATATTTATTTCTAGACAAGTCAAAAAAAAAAAAATTAAATCCATTTTCTAGATGGTGAGGTTTTACATCATAGTTTCATATTTGGCATGGGCTGCCAAATTAGTCAGCACAAACAGAAGGCTTAATGAGGCTGAAGAGAGTCTTGCAGCCTCCTTAACTATAAGCTAACTTTGTTAAGCCTACTGCAAGATGTACACAAGAGCTGTCATTTGTGCACCCCATTCCCCATGAGGGAATAAAATAAACCAGCATTGTATTGCTGACTTCCAAATCACTAGAGCTACATAAAATCCATGCTAGTCTGAGCAGCGAGGTTCCCTGGGGATATGTAGCCCATCTTTCTGGAAAGCTATGTTTGTCCCCTTCACTGTGGTGCTGCATGTGAAACTGGATTGCTATCCCTCACTCCCTGCTTTTTTTGAGGCACGTACATCAAATCTCTGCTTCTCTTCTGAACTTCCTCATAAACAACCTTCTGACACTGAATCCTTATGCCAGCAGGGAAGAAGAGGAAAACATATTATTTCTTGTACTTTACCACAGGGGATCCTAAATTAAAAGCTTGACAGAGCATCCTAGATTTGCTAGGCCGGAAACCCAGGAATGGTATAGTGCAGAAATGACTCTGCGCACTCTCACATACGGTAGTTTATCCACAGCTTATCAGTTGATAAACTCAGTGCTTTGAACTTGGGCTGGACATGCTTGCATACTATGGCTTACCAAATTCTTCGAGGTAAAGATATTTCTTGATTATATTGAACTTTTCAGTAGCAAGTGGTTATGTGGGTCTGCAAATAGGAAATAATCATATTTTGGGAAGGTCCTGCTAAAAATTGTATTAGTTTCAGTAACATATGCATCAAACATCCATATTAGTATAAGATATCTACCAAGGAAGTCAATTATTTTAGTGTCTTAATTTACATATTAGGGATTATATTCCTTATGTTAGGAAAGTCCAGGCTGTGTTTTCAGCATCGTGACACCAGTGAATTTGAACTAAAGCATGATGAACGGTTGATGCTGAGTGATTAAATCAGACCTTTAGAGGACTATATGATGAGTGGATCTAGCTCATATACCCTTATGCAGGTTGGACAATTTGGGTATAACAGGCTGTGTGAGATATCTCCACTTCCCTGGATTTCCAGTCTCTGATAGCTGAAATTTGTTTTGTTCTGGCCAATACAATGAAAATTGAGTGTCACAAAGGCTTTTGTGATGTTAATAGTAGATATTGCACAAATATTTTGTTGTTTCTCCTGTGAGAACACAACTTTTTTAAAAAATAATACTTACATTAACTTTTTTGTGGTGGATTAGAAGGATCCATCTTCTAGTATAGTAGGTGTTAAACTGCCTAATTATCAGTGAGTTGTACACTGTCTACAGAGGAAAATCCCAGTCATTGGAATCTCCAAAATGCACAGTTCAATAGTAATAATAGTTCTAAGGAGAGAGTTCACTGATGCTTTTGTTTTTCATTAAAAGGGACAGGAGCTATATAACCTATCCTCTAAGACCAGACTTCTAATACTAGGGACCAAGTTGGTATGGGCTTTATCATTGAGGAAAGCCAAAACTAAATTCACTGACTGATGAAAAAAGGACGGACAAAGATTAGTATTATATCATTAAGGATGGTAGTTATTTACATATGGAATATATTATAACCTTTTGTTTTATTGTCAAACAAAATTTTTGGTATTCATAGAGAGCTGTCCACAACATCATTCTCCATACAGGGTTTACTGACTTGAATGTTTGGTTAAATTCCAAAAGCATGGAATAGAATTTTCTTTGAAGGCCAGTAAATGTTTATAAAAACTTTTGGAGATGAATAGGAAAGTGGAAGACATTACAGCATCTGTCCAGACACTAGTCTTTCCAAGTAAAAACACCCAGATAGTAAATCTTTAAAAAATCATATTTTAGTGAGTGATTGTGTGGTAAATTTTGTTTAATGAGAAGAAAATTTGATCAGTTATAAATTCCCTCCCCACTTGCTTGAGTAGCCCTAAGAGGCTAATAAACTGTAAGCTTCAGTACTGAAAAAAATAAAACTAATAAATCTGAGTATGTGAGTATTTGTTTAGGGATTTTCCTTCCTCTTATGAATGGCATTGAGTTTCCATAGTCTAGTGGCATGTCATAAGGTATTCTCCTCATCAGTAGCTTGAAGGTTCCTTAGAAAGAATAATACCATTTCAAAGAGGCTAAAAATCCAGAAAAAGAGTGGATTTTAATAAATGAAATTTGTGGAAATCAAATATCTGTTACTATTTTTGTCTCTTGCTTAAAAACAATCTTGATCATCTTTTATGTCAATCATGGTTTATTCATTGTCAGTTGTTGTCAGTCACTGAAGCAATAAGGAGGGGCATTATACTGTGCAACCACTGTGCTCACATTTACCCAGTGTTGTGCAGGCAACTGCTGCCTCTCCCAGTTTATCTGTGCTTTCCTAGTATATCAAATATACAGTTATGAGAAGGTTTAGTTTCACCTTACAGCTGCCAAATATTACGATAAAGTTAATAAGGCCTCCAGGAAAAGTGATGAGCACTAGCTTCTCAGGCTTGTTATGAAAGGTCAGTGAGTATTTCAGAGAGGGCAAAGGGACTTCATTTTAATGGCACTATGCTGGTGAGTCTCCTAGGTGCCTTTGAAAATCCTGTCTAAAAGCTTACAGGGAAGATTTTTTTAAGTAAAGTAAAAAAATTGTTTTCTCAAGCTCTGAAGAGAGACTTCTGCAAATGATGTGGATGATATTCATATATATTTAATGACTACTGTTTCAATTTAAGCTTTTAGTCACAGACTGTAAATCTTGATTGTATGTTTATCTTTTGCTGGGGGACATATGAAATAGAAATATCATTTGTTAATTTTCTTTAATATTACCATAAATAAATGCATGTAGACAACCCTTAGCTCCTGAAAGCTGTCACACATCTAAGTGAATCAAAACATCGTACCTTTCAGTAGCTGAAGATATTTTTCATCTTCCTATGAAACTATTTAATAATTATGATAAAAATTAAGTGGAGTTATGTATCATATTTATCAATGCAAATAATAGTCTCATAAGTGTTCTTTCAATCATCAGATCTCTAGTAGACAGGTATAAGTCCCAAAACTGCAGCCTTTGCCTGTATGTTGTCTAAAGCTTGTCAAAAATTGCTGTCCAAGTAATTTTCAAAGAAAAAGTTATGCTTCCAACTAAACATGTGTTTTACAGAAGGTGCATACTTTAGGCACACTTTTTTTTTTTTTTTTTTTTTAACAGAGCACATATCCAGAAATATTTTTGGTTTGAGAGTTTTGTTTTCCAAAACATCATTAGCCCATGTTAATCTAATAAATTAAAAAGCTTAGCTGACTGATTTTGGATAAGACATCTACTGTTTTCTATAGGGAACTAATGAGCAAAATCTTTGCTGTTTGCAAAAACTAGGCTTTAGAAACAGTGACAAGCCATATTGTCCCAGACAAACAATTTGCAAAGGGATGTGGACTCAGTTCTTAGCTTTATGAATAAACATTATAGTAGGGTTTAATTTTCATATGTGCTATGTATTTGCCACCTTTTTAGAGTCACAGGGATCACAATCCAATATTAATGCTCATAAGGTAAGAAAACACAATTATATGTTAAATATTTGAATAAGGACAAATTGATTATTAAAGTTTTATTTTTCCATTCCCAGCTCTTGAAAAATATCCCTTCTGTTATTACTGAAAAGAAAAATAATCTGAGTGGGGGCCAAAACATATTGGCCAAGCAAAGACAGGAAGGCTGAGCTTTCCTAAGGGCAGCAAGTAATACTCACATTGCAGATGCTTGTGCTATTCCTGTAACAGGCCTGATCCTACACTACTGAGATCAAAGGATATTTTTCGTTTCACTTCATTGAAGAAAGTTTTATGTGGAAAAATAGAGCTAATTCTACAGTTCTGATAGTTTGGTCCAAATCCCATAAACGAACAACAGAATAAATGGACACATTTAGGCTTCACTGAGTATATATTTTCTTTCTTTTAATTAAGCCATGCATGGTGATGAAGGACTAACAAAAACTTTGGCCTCAGAAACAATAAAAACCTGTTCTTAGTGAAGCTCCCCATTAGGAAAGGAAAATAAACTGTTTTTATGTAGTTTTCATTGATCTTGTGGATTTTCTTCCGTCATAAACTTCAAAATGTATTGAATACATTGATTAATTAACATGATCTTCCTTAAAAGCCAAAGCTATAAATAATCATATCCATTAAAATAAGAATTAATTGGATGAGTGAATAACAGCAATGCCTGATTTTTATGAGACATGTCTAGCTATTTAATGTGCAAAAGAATAGTATTCAAACTGGGAAAGGAAAACTTGTTTTAACTCAACCATTGAATTATTACCAAGTGTCTGATGAGGGTTTTTCTTATCTTATTGATCCTGCTTGTGTTCAAAGATGCCTTTATTTAGAAAGAAATGCAGTTGTGAAGCGAGAAAGGCAACTGAACTGCATTACTAACTTGTTGTCTTTACTATTTCAGAGCTGCAAGAAACTAAGACCTCTGAATATCACAGAATATCCCACAGTCCCCTGGATTACAGGATATTATTCATGGATGAAGATCAGGATCGGATCTATGTGGGCAGCAAAGACCATATAATGTCTTTGAATATTAATAATATAAGCCAGGACCCTCTCAGTGTAAGTTCAAGATTTATTTTGGGAATCCAAGGTTGTTTTACTACATACCTTTCTTTTTAGACAAAAAAAAAAAATGTGTATTTCATCATTTTGCAGCAGGCAAAATTCCAGGCCCACACTTTATTGAATTGCTAGTCCTTGTTTTGTGTGTAATGCAAGAGGAACAAGCTGTTAGCATGGCTGTTCCTCAGACACTGTTTAAAACTGACCTGTTTGCTCGTTTTGAAGCGACATTCAGCATGACTTGGCCTCATAAGGAAAATCTGTGTGGGATGATAGTTTCTGCTCCTCTGCAAGATTTACTATAGTTCAGAGATGCAGTTTTAAAAGAAGCCTGTAAGGAAAAGTAAGATACATGCTATCCTTTTCAGCCGTTGGGAAGAAACCAACAGGGAGAGAGTTGCCTTTAACCTTCAAATTCTTTGTTTTGTATACAGAAGTCTGATCACTGAACTACTTTCCAACCTTTTGTTATGTCTGTGTCAGCCCTTGCCCTTCAGTTGGGTAGCTAAGACACCTCCTATTTAGGATTTTTTGCCACTATGACCCACATCTCCCTCTTGCCATCACCAATTTTCTATCTCCTTCTTTTACTTATCAAGATGCCATTTTCTAAGGACTCTCTGTGTCACACCTCCCCAAACTTTAGTAGGCAGCCTGTATATGAAAATAACCAAATTATCATATGTTTAAACTACTTCTACAGATTCCTTTCTTGTTTCCAGAGCCAGTTCAAATTCAGCTTCTCTGCTTTTAAAATAGGTGGTCTGCAGAAGTACCTGTGTGCCCAGAAACCTAACTATTAAGCTATTCTCTCTCTACAGATTTTGCCTTGCCTATCTTTAAATTATCACAGCTACAAAACTACCTTAACGGGTACTGTAAAGGCCTTGTTCTACCAAATTCATCTGATCCCTTAATCTATGGGCTTTATTACTGTACTTCAGGAGTATTGAAGGCCAGAGATATCCAGCTTGCAGCATCAAAGTTAAGTGGCTTCCTTAAGAGGCAAGGCTTTTAATGTGTCAGGAGAGAAAGAGCGGCCCCACTGGAGGGTGATTAAGCACAGTTAAATTAGGCTTTTCTCTGAATCACCCTGTGGACATGCCTGTCTACCTGAATTGATTGTGCAGGGAGTACAGAGAGGCTAACTCTAACTTACACATTTAAATTAAATGCCTCTCGTGTGGCAGCATGAACACATCCTTCCACCTCCTAATGGTACAGAAATCTTCCTCTGAAACAAGGCTGCCTTCTCTGATCTGAAATAGCTTGTGTGACCTTTTTGCTAATTCCCATCTCACCAGTGATCCAGCCACACTTGTCTGGGAGCTGCTGTGATCCCACACAGCATGCTCCAGCCATCACTTAGCAGGTTGGTTTTAAATCTGTTCAGAGTTTGGTTAGATAAGGAAGCCTCTGTTGCATGGAATATATTCTGCAGTATAAAACTGTGAGGCAATTCAACAGTCTATTTAGGCCTGGAAAAACTGGAATAAAAAAAATCAGCAGAAAGCAAAAACACACAAAATCTTCTGGTGGCAAATGTGATCACCCATATTTGGCTCAGAATTAATCTCTGCAATTCCACATGTTCTTTTTATGTTTATGTTTATTTTTGTTAATAACAGATACACTTTTCTAATCTTATGCCTCTATAGAAACCCTGTATACATGTGCATACATACTTACAATTCTCTACATATATATGTATGTGTGCATATATATATAGAGAGAGATCTTTTAAAGCTATTATTTATGTTATCTTGAGGCTAAATGTTATCAGGCTGTCACCTACTAAATTTCTAGGGAGAGATTTCTAATGGATGTTTTTTTCTATTTCAAAATCAAAATAAATAATGGAAGAAGCTCAGTAGTTTCAGAGTTTGAGTATAGATCAGATAAACATTCAGACAATGAGGTGTCTGTTTGTCAGAAAACTGTCTGTAGTGAAAGATATCTTAGAAAGAAATCAAGAAACCAGTCTGAAATATTAAGATTTTAGGCAGGCTTTATCATAAAATATTCCAATCCTTTACTGTCAAAACCAAAAAATTTTTATAAGAACTTTTCTTTTAATATTTTATTCTTCTGGTTTCTAGTGTGAACAATACCTAGAAATTCAGTAGAAGCAAAAAAGTAAAGATGGACAGTAAATTAGACAATGATGATGAAAATGTCTCTTATTTAGAAGAAAGAAGCTTAAATAAATGTATCAATTTATCTTAAAAATATTTAATAAAATTCAGTCATATCAGCCAAACACCTGGGCCTTTATTTTGTTTACTTAATGCTCAGACAGGAAGTTGTTTTCATTTATCAATGATAATCCTTGTTTGCCTTGTAATCAAGATGTAAAAGATATCAAAATATTAATTTATTAGTGTAATTTAGGCAGTGAAATGTTTTGTTTGAATTATGTAGTAAATATGTTACTTAAAAAGATACTTCTTTCCTTACAGATTTTCTGGCCAGCATCAGCAAACAAGGTTGAAGAGTGCAAAATGGCTGGCAAAGATCCTACAGTAAGTTGTAATCCACATGCATACACACACACAAATTACATATTTGGCAATAAAGTAAGAGCACCTTGAGTGCAGCCAAAACAAATTGAAAGAAGTGTTTGTTTTTCTTTTTAAATGCTCTTCAGGCCAAACGATAAAGTCAAATTATGAAAAAACAGGCTATGTAAACAGAATGCACCTTCAGACTTTGGCAGATGGAAAAAGATATGCACTGTCCACTTCCTCGCTTTTTTTTCTCGTTGCTAGTCAAACTAGGTAATAGTACTTTTCCAGATATGTCCTAGGGATGATGCTGAACATCCTGCTGAACTGTTGTTTCGGGTGGGGAAGTGCTCTGGCTGCCCGCTCACCCCAGAAATGGACTCTACAGGCAGGGGGTACCCACTGTCTGCAGCATAAATACCCCAGACTCGGGAACACCTCAAACACCTCTTTCCACTACTTCCTCAAAACAATGCCCATATAAATATCTGGAAACCAGTATGCTTTCCTAAAAAGAGGTAAAATAGATCTCTGAAATCACAGGAAACACAGCCCATGGAGAAGTTATATTGAGTCATTTTGTACCACAGCTGATTATTTCCCATCTAAATGAAGACTCCTTCCAAAGGACCTAAGTCAGATGGTAATTTCCCTATACAATCTTTATAGAAACTAGATAAGAATTAAGTGTTTTGAAAGACCTGGTGAGTGGTACAATACAGCAGATCCTGCCATTGGCAGAGTTTTATATTAATGTGGTTATCTTCCTAAAGTAATTTGAATTTACAGTCTGTACATGCCTAGATTCTATTATCAGAAGACAGATAAATTCTAAAACAAAAAGCAGAAAGTCACATTCTATTCAGTTACCTTTTGACTTTTTACCAGTTCTGCAGTACCTAAAGGTCTTTATCCTGGTTTCCTTTTTAGCTCTTTAGATACAGATGTTTTCCAACAGTTACTTTAGTATTAGAATTCAGTATCTAATCTGAGCTAGAAAATTGCAATTTCTTACTATTAAACTTATAAGCAAAACCAATGACATTTTGCTTATATTTTTATTTGAGCAAAAATCTATGGAAATCAGAAGCTTTCACCTTAAGTATAATTGTCTTTGGAACATACTCCTCAGCATATATCTAGGATCATAATGAAGTGATTGAAGGACTCAAGCAGGTGTACATAAATACAGCTTTTAATTTCAGAAACAATAGAATTAATGCAGAAGTCTACTGAATTTAGTATAAAAACAGTTATTTATTTCAAAGATCTCTATATCATGGCTGGTATTTCTGTTTATTTTAGCTACTCATTTTGTGTTGTTAATTAAGCCTACAGGTGACATGCAATTCTTATACTGCAATATTGCAATAATTCACCTGAGTCCATTTTATAAGAAAAATATGTTTGGGCATTAGTTTCAGAATCCATTGCAAATGCTGATGAATGTAAGGAAACCAGAAGGTTGGCCTACTGGACTGTTGCTGTAACACTGCTTTTTCAAAACTGTTGAGAGTAATTCACTATATTGCTGCAGAGCAACAGAATGATTCTTTATGAATAATTATATTATGGTTGGTATGTAGTTTATCTGCTTTCTTTCCTGATAGCTATGCTAGTGAAAAACAAGTATTTTTCCTATTGAATAATCTATTCTTCTATACATTTTTACATTGTTCTGGTTACTGCAGTGAGCAGTAAATTCCACAGCTAGTGGCCTGTTAAGTTGCACTAAATATGAAAATAAGACATATAGCTTTGTTAATGGTGATTAATATTTAGCCTACTTACTATGTCAACTGCATCCTGCACCATCAACTTGTGATAGATGGTTAAGGACTTTTATTTTCTTTCAAATAGAAAAATTCATTACTCTTAGTCATGTTTCCAATGTATAATGACACTCTTCGAGGGTGAAAATAGGAAAAATATAGATGATACTCTAACCAGAAAGTAGTATGTAAAATATGTGATTCATGAGAAACAAAAAGCTAAGATACTACTAAATACTGGACTCTATGGAGAACTTTTAATCCTGGATATTTAGTGTTGAGACTTTCCTAGCTTTTAATCATACTGGAATACCCAAATGTTGTTGAATTACTGGACAGATTTCTGGATAGAACCTATGCTTTTACAACAGTTTAATTGTGAGTACAGCTAACATCCTGTAATATAGTTAATTATAAATGTCCATGTGCATCAACTTTTAATTGATTTGTTTGATCTCAGATGTGCATTGAAGAAGAAAAATTAAGTTCCAAAAATATAAGTTTACACTGAGTTTCTTAGTATTTGTCCTCAAGAGTTTAAAAGAGAAACAAAAAAAATGGTACTGAAGAACAGCTTCTGCTCCCACTAAAATCAATGGTTTGTCTTATTGAAAGCTCACTGAAATAATGAGAAAAAGACAATCCAATGCTAAATCACTGTTTGCAGCTTAAAATTTAAAGCTCTATTTTAATAGCATTCTTGTGAATTTCACTTCTGATAATAATGGGAGATCAGTGAATGAATCAAAAAGAAATAAGAATTTCAAATAAAAAAAAAAAAAAAAGAGGGGGAGTTAATGCATGATAATGTTTGGCCTATCAGACAATAGTGATTGTCACAAGGCAAGAGAGGAATAGATAGACTTGGAGGAGCCAGTAAAAGACTTTATGCAACCAGAGAATTCTTTTCCAAGGAGATTTGGAGGGGGATCATTTGCCCTATGATTAGACAAACATTCATGTCTGAATTTGTCACCTTTGTCTGCCTTTTTTGTTAATGAAAAGAAATTGTCACTTCTAAATAGTAAGTTTACCAGGCTTACTTGAATGCTGAAATTAATATGACATCTATTTCTCTCCACTTACTGTGATGAGATCGTAGGGCATAGATATCTGACTTTCAGATGTCTACAGTAAGGCAGTCCCCCCAACACTGCTACTGAGTGAGTTTTGGTATCTCCTCCAAGAGGAGGACTGGTCGTATGTGAGTATTTACAGCTTAGCCATCGCCTTTGACAAACATCTATCCTAAAGACAACGATCTCATATCACCTCAAACCACACTGATTTAAAAGCACAAAGTACTCCATTATCAATGAAAGGGAAATAAACTGAAGAATAGGTGTTCTTGAATGGCACTCCTACAGAGTATATTCTGAAATAACAATTTCTCGCTTTGTTGGGTTGTGGAGTCACAGCCCAGTACCCAGATTACTCATGTAGCAAATTGCAAATGGAGTTCAGTGTTTCAACACTAGAGAGATGGGGCAAAGGCTCAGAGATCATAAAATGGTCTTCCTGACAGATTGTGTTAAAATATGAGAAAGTTGGTGTTGAGCCAACTTGTGTTACTTGTCTGTAAATCATCAATGAAGAGACATAAAGATACAGTATGTCCCATGGTTACCCCAGAAGGCTGTCCTTAAAGAAAATAGACGTTCATCTAACCACTGTTGTGTTCTTGCCAGAGACACTTTGGAAAGTGCATGTAATGGTACTGAAGCAGAATAGCAAGTGCCACGAATCGGTACTGTTCGTGTAGACATTGTTTCCTGATCCCGACCTTGAAGACTTTCATTCTGAGATTTCTCAGCATGTAATCCTTTATCTAGGAGTCTTCTAGAAAAGTTTTCTGTAAACAGCAAGAAAAGAAAGCATCAGTTTACACTCTGGCATATATAAATTAATGGTATACCTTCGCCTGTCCTTCTCTTTCCACAGCTGTAATGCGGATGGGCAAGACTGCTGAGAAAAACACGATTCTGATAGCAAGAGGTTACTAAAGCCATCTTTGAGCCAAACTAAGATTGGTGGATATGAGAAATGGAAACATTTAGGAACAGTCCTCAGCTTTAGAGAAACAATGTATTTTGACTGGGTTAAAGGATTTTTCTGGTACAGCTAGAGCTAACAGCTAACTGAGGACATGCAGTGTTCCCTCTAGAGAAACCCCCTCTATGAACTCTGAACTACCTACAGCTATGCACCAGTTTACAGATGTGAAAATTCACAAAAAATGTGAATGCCTTTAAATATAAATAATCTGTGTAGTCTGCTAAACAAGGATTAACTCTACTGATTTTCATGAAGGTGACTGATGACACAGTTTCCAATCCTGTGCTCACAGAACACATGCAATCTCACTGTTTTTGGTGAAGGTTTGGATGATTGAATATGAAGGCAGTTCTGGGATCTCAGTAAGAAAAAAATATTCAGAAAAGAATCTATTTTCAACCTAAAATGCATTAACAGTTGATGATAGTCAGAAAAAGAAAGAGCAACAGAAGAAAGGGGCATGCTGGAAGGAGAAAGCTGCAAATCTGATGGTGTGAAACTGTGGCCCTTAATGGTTCTCTTTAATTTTCATGCTGATTTGAAGATATTACTGTTGATCTTCAATATGAAGCAACAATTCACTGCAAACTTCCTTTGTGTCTTTCAGTGTTTTAAAGTTTTTGAAATAAATTGTTTCTACAAGTAACAGGATCTGAGATTTAGGCTTGCTTTGCTTGTTAATTATCTCCGGCTATGATGAAAAAAATAGGGGGAAAAAAGACTGTTCTGGAGGTCTCCTTAAGAAAACTTCATAAGGTTACTTCTTGTTTCCCTACAGAAGTCCAGATTCTTCCCATGCAGTCTGTCAATGCAAATTAGATTACTGTGTGGAAATGAGAAAGTTACATGCACTCCTCTATAGCTCCTCTGTAGTGCTTTATCAATGTCCAGTTCCCAGACTAGGCAGAATGACATGAAAAGGAGACAGAAGTCTACAGCTTCAAATCCAGAGACTACCAAACTCAGTAGCTGTTTTAGTGATACTATTGAAATTATCAACCATGTCTATTCCCTTGAGATCTCAACTTTTAATAACATTTTCCAGTGTGAAATTATTTTTTTTTCTGTATTCCCTGCAGCATGGCTGTGGAAATTTTGTGCGTGTGATACAGTCGTACAATCGCACACACCTGTATGTCTGCGGCAGTGGCGCCTTCAGCCCTGTGTGTGTGTATGTCAACAGAGGACGCAGGTCCGAGGTATGTCTCTTTTCATTTTGTCTGCTCATTTTGTGGTTCATCTTACTAGTTTATGCAAAACTCAAAATTTTGAAAATGCAGAAATCAGTGATCCAAATAAGTTCTTTCACCCATGTTAAATAGAAAAATAACAAAGGTCCATAGTTTTCTGGCCTGTTACCAGCTAGAAGAAAAGCCATGATCAAAAGCCATCCCTCAAATATGATGGCTGCCCAAAGTTGCACAGTCATACCAAACACTGGGCTACATTCGATACTACTTTTTTATTTGACGTTGCCAGTGAATTCATTCCTGTCATTTGTTAGAAAAATTGCCAAGAAATACTTGAAAAGGAATAGCCAGTTAGATAAAAAGTAAAATATGCAGTCAAATTTTTGTGACTTCCACATGTTACTGATTCCTGGGAGAAGCCCTAAAGTGCTCTAACTATTCAAGTATATGAAAGTTTGCTGTACTGCAGCTTAATACCCACTAGATCCAATCCCAGTACAGATAACTTTCATTTACTGCACAAGTTTTGCCCCATTAGATTCTGCCAGGATAAAGTCAGTAAGTTTTCTTATCATTTTGAGATCTTCCAGGGTATAAATCTTATTTTCTCTAGATAAGTCTCTTGTTTTTCTATATTCAGTTTCACTGTGTATTTTCAATATAAAAACTACCAGATGTTTCACAAGTATATTGTCCAAATTTCCTGATTTGAAAGTGAAAAGTTTGTTTATGTACAAATGTAATAGCTAATAAATTAAGCAACCAGAAGGAGAAAGAAAAACACTTAACCAGGACCCAGCATTTTAGTAGCTTCTGAGTCAGGTTCAGGTCTGTGGGCACAGGGGTGTGCAGTATATTTTCCTGTACAATGTGGAATCAGATGTGTCAGGAAGGAAGATCAGAGTGTGCTATCTGGAGTTTTGCCATGTGAGGGCAGCTTTAAAATCTGGGCTGGCTCCTAGGGAAGACAGTGGGAAATTCATTACTGATTTCATTGGGAATGGGATGGAAAGTCTAGCCAAGACCCAAGACTACTCCAGAGTTTCCCAAGGAGGGGATAAATCATTGTTTCTACAGATAGGTTTGCATGGGATGATCTCAGTGACTTTTGGTAGATCCCCACCTGGCTCCAGCCTCCTTAACAGAGTATGTAGTCTGAATCACTGCATCTTCAGTCCTAATGAATTATCTAAAAGTAGGGGTTCATAGACCTGGATTTAAAAGCACAAGTAAGCAGAACTGAATAAGTAAATCCATCCTTCTGGTTAACAGAGTCTGCATTAACTTATTTTGATGCATTTTGAAAGAGAGGTCAGCTTTCCTCAGAGTTATCCTATACCTTGACAAATTATTTAAAACATGGAAAGTGATCTCATTTGTCTCTAATTTATGCAATATTCCTTTATCAGTTTCAGTAGTAGTACTGTAACCCAGAGAACTCTGAATCTCATTATTTTAGGGGATTTTAAAATGAGACTGGGGGGGGAGAGGGAGGGCAGGAAATGACATCTCCAGATGATGTAGGATGTTAAATTTCTTAAGTTAAAAATAAAGATACATGCCTTAGAAGAGCAGAACTGGCTTCATTTAGCTTGTCTGTATAGTTACATGCCTATAATCAATCGATTAAATAAACTGCTATTTCAGACGTCTGGAGTCTGTCAGAGACTTGACTAAGCATTGCATGCTCAAAGCCATCACTGTACAGGCCAACAATAGCATAACAGTTTTAAAACAAGCATTTCCTTCTGAACTCATTGCATATATCAGCTCCTGACTATTCAATAGAACAGAATGAAGCACTATGTAGTGTTGATGGGACTAGTGATAACTCACTTTTTTTCTCCGCCTTTATCATTTCACCTTTAATTTAGTACAGTTTTCCATTCACAGATGGCTGTTTTTTCATGTGCAAAATGGATATTTTAGAAAGCACATCTGTTTTTCTCTAGAAGTTACAAAACCTGAAAGCAAGAGCCATATCCAGCAATCATAAGAACTGGACGTGTTTTGCTCTTTTGTCTCCAGAATTTCACATAATCTCACAAAAAAAAAAAAAAAAAAAAAAAAAAAAAAAAAAAAAAGCAGTTCCATTGAGGAGGTAGAATGTTGCTCTTTTCCCTGACACAGGTTTAAAAATAATTAATTTTCTTACTTGGCACACTTGATACTTTGGGCTTTGGTAATGACTCTTTTAGTCACCCAAATATATTCTAATGTCAAAGTGAATGCAACAGAAGGAAATGTAATCACTATGTGAATTAATTATAGGTTAAAAAGTAGTTTAATATATATGAAAATCAAGTGTAATCCTGAAGATAGTTTAATAGCGTAGTAATGGGCATTTTGAATTGGTAAATAGTGGTATAATATAGTAAATATGGATTAACATCAAGCTGCATATTAATCTAGAAGTAAAACAAACAACCCCCACACACCCAAGATCATATTAGAAACTTTATGCTTATATTGTAACATTGTTTAGAGAGCTTATTACTGAAACAATAAATAAGATCTCTGTGATTAAATTAGGCAAAGCAGAAGAGGGGGAAAAGAGATAGGACATAATGGATATGAAAACTTCCTGCTTTAGCTGAGCATTTCAGGTTGGTGGAGTCTCCAATTCACTGTTGGCAAATAGATGCTCAGTGATCTGTGTGGCATCTACATTCCCCTGTGATTTACAATAATTGTTAAAGGGAATATAAAGTGTTGCTGCCCTTAAATAACTAATACATTGGCATCTATGTCACAGAAAACTTTTTGGGGAATTTTTGTCAGCTGCCTTATTCTGTTGAAATAGAAATGTTTTGAGTGTTTTTTTTTTTTTCCTTGCAATTGTGTCTTTTGGCCCTCTATTAAAGATTAGAAGTTTGTTATAGGAGGCAAGGAACAAGCTGGGTTTTGGTATACAATGGTACATGAGTCAATGTGCTATGGATCGATGTCTTTGCCATTACTGACTGCAAGTTTTAAGGAACAGACTTGGACCCAAGTCACTTCTTGATCAGCATACTGTGCTCTTCAGTATTGCTGGGAACCAAGAAGTGAAGAGGTACACTGTGATAGGTGAATTTTCTACAGATACTCAGACTGCTTGTATTACAAGCTGTAGTCCAGGTTGCTTCTACTTTGTCAAATGTATCTCCTGTTTATAAGTCACATAAGATATAAAGAAATCCCCATACCAAGATTCATAGATGGCAAAAAATTTCCAAGATATCTCAGGCTATGGCAAAAGATATTGATACGTCATCTATCACTACAGAATTAGAGCTCTACACATAATCCAGTAGATTGTATTGAAGAAAATAAATGTGATTTAGGGGATTTTTGGAGGTGTGATAGCTCAGTAAAGAGCAAATTAGTTATACTATCACCAAATGACAGGTATCATAAGGGATTCTTACTTAATATGTGTTATTGTTCTAGTAGCTTTATTGTAATGTCCTAGACTGGTATAAATATCATTGTGAATTCAAAACTAAATTATAAATAACTTCAAAAACACAAAAATAATCTCCACAGATGTTATTGCAGAGATCAATCAACCTCTCCAAAGCATATCTGAGCTAGAGGGAAAAATTCTTTGTTTCAGTGTCTTGAATTTATGACAAGAGTCTTGAAAATAAGTGGCTATCAATGAAAAAGTTGTCTAAAAAGATGATAAAATTCTAAATAGGAAAGCTAAACTGCTGATAGTATAGCAAAAGTAGCCAGCAGTGCTGAGCCTTGTTAATGCTGGAAACGACCAAGCATAAAAATCGCTTTATCTCTAATGGTTTCTGAAATGAGAACTGACACACAAATCTACATTGCAGGAACAAATCTTCAAGATCGACTCCAAGTGTGAATCAGGAAAGGGACGCTGTTCTTTCAACCCTAATGTTAACACAGTGTCCGTTATGATCAGTAAGTAAAGATACTCCAATTTGCTGAGGTCTAAACCCATATGATCATGCATGATTTGGATTGATGGGATGCCAGAAATGAGCTGGACACAGAATTTAGCCTCCAAGGAGCAGTACCCTGTACCCGGCTATAGGGCACACAGGTTGGGTCCATCCTTGTTTCAAGATTTACATGAAGCTAAGGGTGGGTGTACACATGAAATGCAGAAATAAGCTGTTGAAAGGGAGAGAGAGAAAAACAGAAAAAAAAAAGTTGTCCCTTTTCCAGCTTATATATTTTTTCCCAGGATTAGTTTGAGCTTTATGTTGCCCTGTCTAGCATTTTATGTTTGAACAGTTTATGACCTTGTTCTTCCTAGACAGCACTTGTGTCTCATTTAATTATTCGTAAAATCTTGGAGTAGCCAGGGAAAGTAAGCCTGAAGACTTTAGTTACTTTGAATTTCATTTTTGTTGTCATGTCTTCTGTAGAGCCCACCAGCTATTGCAAGGCTCTTTCTTCTTCAATTGGCTTTGTACTCAACCATTTTTGCAATTTTCTTCCATTTAAAAGGCCAGAAATTGATACAACTGACACATCTCAAATATTCTTGTGAATTGATGACAACTGTACTCAGTGACTATGAGATATACACCATACAAAGAATTAATGCAGTGCTTGTTACACACCTAACTAAAGACTCAAAGGGGGCATACAATTTGTCCAACTTAAGTCATCAATAAAATAAACTTTTTATTATTATTATTTTATTTTTTTTTATTTTTTTTTTTCCTTTTTTTCAAACCAGGAGACATGTTATATATATGCAGTGTAATCCGACCTTTCATATTTGCAGCATGTTCACAGACATCTTGTGCCAAAGCCTTGATTTTTCAACATGTGCCTACTCCTTGCTATATTATTGGCTATGAAGGGAATGGCAGTTACACAGATTTTTTAGGCTTTATTAACAAATAAAACTTAGTGCACACAGGTACTGTGTTTTTAACCCAAGGTTTACAAGGGAAAAACGTGTGGTGTTTCTGCCATTTGGCTTCCACTGAAATCAATGGCAATTATATATTGTGCCAGATATTTCCTTTAAAGAGTTTTATGAAGCTTAAGGGGAGTGTCATATAGTCTGTCTTACATGGTCTGTTCAAAATACAATTTACCTTTTTTTTTGGATTCCTCATTGCAAATATATTTACTACAAAGGACAAGTATTTTCATTCACAGACGTATGAACTGAAGCACCTTTAGAAGACAGGTAAATACTACCTAGATACCTCTCTGAACCTTGGCTGCACTTAATGTCTTTATCTCATCAGTGATCTACAGACAGTGTTTACAGACACTCACTGTGTAAAGAAAATGTTTGTTCGAAGTCAGTGATGGATTAATCCACTGCTACTCATTGCTGTTCTGGTATTATTAAGTGGATCAACTGCCATTAAAAAATAAAGTTTCCTTTCCTTGTTCCTTCTGGATTTTATGAAACACCATTAAAGTAAATTGTTTCTGAATTATGTTATATACAGTAAGCTAATTTTTTCTACAGTAGATCTATGGCGGCTTTGTTCATCTTAGTAGACTTTGTTATCTTCCTTGATCTCTCAGTTTAGTGACTGAAGAGACCTTCCCTCGTGTTTGACTTCTCTTTCATGACATAATTAATCTACAAAGTTTAAATTACTCTGCAAAGGTCACACTCTTTTTCAAGAGTCCCACAGATTGGGTTTTATACTTTCTCCCTGTTACTACAAAGTTCAGCCACTTAAAAAACATTAAGCTTGAATGAATTTAGCCTCAATATCCATGCCAGAAAAGGGAAGATTTTGTAAGTCACAGTTCAGGTTATAATGAGGGGACCCATATACTGGACTCTGAGCGTTCTTCTGCAAGAGGAATTCCTTACCCTTGCTTCAGAAGATGGGAAATACTGCCAGGTCGGCTAACTCTTCCACAACAAAAGAACCATTTTTAAATACAGAAGCAATTTCTTGACAGTTTTGGGCATCACCAGCCTAGAATACAGCTGGAAAGCTGACTCACCCTTCGGAGAAAAGTGATGCTATATAAACAAATTTGAAATTGGTACAATTTTCCATTGTACAAGGACACTTTTTGCATCAGAGCGATGAAAAATGTGCTTTGAGGAAGCTTGGCTCAAGATTATGAGATATTTATAAAATCAGACATACCTCATCAATTCAGTAATCCCCCCAGTAACAAAGAGAAGTAGTGTGAACTAGTTGTGCTGTGCAGACCAAGTACTGTGTGGAATTTAAGAATTTAACTAAAAGGAAGTGGAGATGACAAATATAATCTGATACGTGATTAGCAAGCAGACACTAAGAATGCTTAAGACATAACTAATAGTGTTGATATGTAATAGGATTAAAATTACATAGTGTAGTACTATTGTTAAAGTGTGTGCATATGTGTATATGCATAGGACATAACATTTAGTGAGAAACATAAGCCTGATCTCTTTCAGTTAATTTATTTCGTAGTAAGAATACAGCTCTGATGGATTGAGGCCGTGAGGCAAATATACAAAATCAGTTATAAATCAGCATAGATCTAATGTCATTCTGTCAATACATGCTCAGGAAGTAAATGCTTCATAAACATGGAGCAAATGCATTGTTTAAATCCCCTGTGTATGAATCTTGTCATCACTGGGAGAAATGAGAGCAGAAGAGTGGCTGCTGGCTGCTCTGCAGGGGTTCAGTTCAGGCTCTAGCCAACAGCAGAAAAACAAAATATCCAGAGTTTTAATTCTCTCATGAGCCAATAGTCTTCCATATTGATGTGCACACACACACACACAGAGCACAAAAATAGCCTCAAGCGCTTCTGAACCTGTGACTCTTGCCAGCTTGACCACACTCTCTGGGTAGTCCAGGAATTCAGACAAAAACATCAATCAAAGGACCCAGCTGTATTGGAATGTATTCAGCCACCACTCCCACTCTGAGAGTTAAAGTTTATTTTAGCTACTGTTTTTTACTCTGGTGTTTCATTGTCATTAGTCAGCGGAAATCACTTGACTATCCATGGAGTAGAAAATGATAGTATATGTAATTAGAATTATAATTATATATACATATATTTATGCACACATACAGACTCACACAAAAAGAAATATACATGGATTGAGTATTCAAACCTGCACAGAGAGCAGAAGTTCATAGTTCTGTTAATGTAAGAGTTGTTTGCCTAATTCTGTTCAAACTTAATGACCCTATACTTAGAATCAAGTACATAAAAGGGGACAATTGTTGCTCCGTATTGCTCCATATAAAGTTCAATAATATGATTTTCTGGCCTCTGGAATACTGAAGTCAGCTTGAGGCTGCCTGGGGCAGCCTTGACAATGCTGTTGGTAAAAATTGGCACTGATCCATTGAATTCAATAGATGTTGTGCCAGTTTACACCCGCAATAAATTCAGCACAGTCATTTTGTCTACTCCCATAACAAAAAAAGCTTTTTGAAGTACATACTTTAAAAATTGAATGTGATTCTTTTTGATAACAGTATATTGATTTTCCAGTGATCCTTAGCAGTGAAGGTTGAGCAGCTAAGCTTCATATCAAAGAAAGGTTCACCACATATGCAGTTCTGCTGTTGCATTTAATTATGCAGTTCCCTAAAGTTTTTTTAAGAAAAATCTGATGATTCTTTGCATTCTGGACTGTGTCATTGTAAATCAGAGGGAAATCCCATTCCCATAACCCAATATTTATCTGTATAGACTCCTGTGTAAATAAAGTGCTGACAAGTTTAAAATAAAAATAGATCAGTAAGTGTGGATTTCCAAAAGCCATAACAATGCATTTGCTTTTTCCCCTCCATTTCAATTCTTTGCAGATGAAGAGCTTTTTTCAGGAATGTATATTGATTTCATGGGGACCGATGCAGCCATTTTTCGGAGTCTGACCAGGAGGAATGCTGTGCGAACCGACCAGCACAACTCCAAGTGGCTGAGTGGTGAGATGCCTTTGTTTTACCAGAGGTTTTAATGGGTTTTACAGAGTTTCTGCTTTGTTTTGTTTAAAATAAAGTGCTTGCCTTTTAAAGAGCTTTCCTCTAAATTTAATTTGTGAAGTTGAATCATGAATAAATGTTTGTAAATACATATTGTAAGCAATGCACAGATGGAAAGGGTTCACGGCATAAGCCAACCTTTCAAATGCCAAGTGGTCAAACAATCTGATTTCTAGGGAAGAGCCTTCTCCACCTCTGATGCATCAGACATTGCTTTAAATTAGAGTGCTTGATTCTAAGTTTTTTCCTAATGAATTACCAACTTCAGTTAACTCAGGCTAATCCACCTCTGTACAGAAGACTCACTACCACTTGCATTCAAAATATGTGCAGAAGAAGTCCCATAATCAGAGAAGTCCCATAATCAGAGAAGTCAGTGGTAATTATTGCTATTTATTTCAGTGGTAAGAAATTGATTATCAAAACACAGTAAGAAAACTAATTTCTGAGTGCAAGCACTTAACTCTCGGCTTCAGTGAAATCAGTGTGAAAATTCTCCCTGACTTTACTGATAAGGAGACTCCTTCCAATTAAACTATTTTAAATTAAAATGGTGGTCAACCCTCTGAGAAGAGGTAGATGTCAAAGGTTATAGAGCAACTAATGTAACAGTTCTAATTTAAAACAGCCTTCGGTTGTGTTGAAGTAAAGTTACTGTGGTTTTATCTGGACTATTTTTAGGGTCACTCTTGTTATTCCTGTGTGGCTGTGACTACAGTGAAATCACAGGATTGCAATTAGAATAAAATTTCAGTATGAATGAGAAACTATGTCTGCTTTCTAAATTCTTCTTTTTTGATATACATTCTTACACATTCTTATGCTTACCTGAACACCCTGAAGTGTGCATCCTAAAGTGAAATAGGGAAAAAGAACCATTGAAATGCCTGATTTCCAGAAAATCTACCTGTTACATATGTTCAGAACAGGTATTTGACAAGCAGTTTATTTCAATGTTCCAGAGTCATGACACTTATTAATTGAGAATGGGCTCATGTGAATAGAAAAATGCTGCAGTCTAAAGTGAAGTTTCTGTCAGACATCCAACCTTTGTATCATATTGTTTCAAATTTTGTACTGGATTTCAACTGATGAAGCAATCTTGCATGATCATTGAAAAGATATACCCTTCATGCTGGAAGCATCAGACAAAGGAGAAGGTCTTCTGAGGACTCCTTCACTGCCCATTATATGCTTGCTGTTAAGGATATAAATTATTTTGCTCTCTCACTAGTGCTCCTTTGAAGTGCTTTGCATGTACACTTGGCTATGTTTATCAACCTCTGATATGAACTCAAACGCTGTTCAAGTATTTGCATACCCTGCTTTCCTCTTCTGTGTTCCATGAGTTATTTTCCTCTCATATTTATGCATCTTATTTGTTCTTTTCCTAATAAGTCTTTTAACAGCTTGCTTTTACATTTCACCTCAATAAGTCTTTCCTTAAGTGCCCCTGTTAACACATTGATTCTTCCCTCCTCTTCCTCCAAGTCTTTGAATCTCAGCAGTAATGTAATACTACCACTTCTACATTTGCTTCGCTTTTCTAAAAATGTACTGTGGGATAAAATGTGAGGACGCAGAAACTTAAGGCTGTCAGCAAGAATCCATTTACCTGGCTGATGATATCTGGTATATATAGACATGAGGTTAGATCATAGAACTTAACCTGCCACAGCAGTACCTCTATATGCATTATATAACATTTGCTTGAAGCAGTCAGTAACTTTCAAATCATTAATTGCTTGTACTGATACATCTTTTGGTTTCATCTTTTTTGTATACTGCTTCATTTCAGAGCCTATTTTTGTGGATGCTCATGTTATCCCAGATGGCACTGACCCCAATGATGCCAAAATCTACTTCTTCTTCAAAGAGAGACTCACAGACAACAGTGGCAGCACGAAACAAATTCATTCAATGATTGCAAGAATATGCCCAGTAAGAACAGTTTTGTTTGCCAGGTTGTTGGGACAAGATGCCTGTGCGACATGATAAGCTAAAAGACTAAATAATTGAAAAACCTTTGATTTATATTCAGAACAAATTTCCTCTTTCGGCTTCCACATTCATAATTAAGAAGAGCTGTTACTGAACACAGGGTCTGAACATGTTATGTATATCTGGATATACCTATAATGATATGGAAAATTAGAGGTTCAGGGATTTGTGTATTTGTGACTGAGAATAGTTAGCAGTGTTGAATTTCCAAAGTTGCTGTCCTTTGCACAAATGAGGTACATTCTTTACTTAGAAAAAGTTAATTATAAGACAGTGAAGATTTTAAATGTGTTGATTTAACTTTCAAATACTGTTTTAATTTTTAGCATATCTGTCCTTTCTGAGTTCTTGCATTGATGTATGTGTGCAACTACAGTGTGAGCACTTTAAAAACATGCACAAAAAAGTTATATTTAGGAGTTATGGTTACTCCAGTGCAGTAATTAAGTTACAGTCACAGTGCTCCTCATTGTCTCTGATTCTTTTTTCGTATCTGTAATCAACTATAGATGAAAAATTACTGAAACAGCTATTAATATCTCTGGTGAAATTGATTTTTTTTTAATGGGAGAAAAAATATAAATGCACAATTACTAGTACCCTTTTCATTCCTTCCTTTGAAAAGGCTCAGGAAGATAATTGTGATCTTTTGTTTATTCCCTGTCTTTAATCTGGGTCTTCTTTAGAATTTAGTGCTTTGTGATGTTGTGCATGGGTGTGAGGGTGTGTTTGGGATTGTATTAAACTCATTCTCTGGCAATATGATGAGCCATGTGATCTCCTTTATAATCTCCATTTTCTATATTTTTGTGAGGGTGCCCAAAGGCTTTTTTGAGTGTTTTGCAAGAAGACATTTCACACAGCTATAGCTGTGTTTGTTATTGTTACTATTATAATGAAGCCCAGATGATTTCTGAAAAGCCTCAGTCTGTTTAGACTTACACTAAAGTCAGTGGCAGAATCCCAAAGCCAATGAAAAGAAACCTGAGCAAGTCATATTTGTATACTTGTATACCATCATATCCATATATCAACACCTTTGAGACTGGACTGGCCAAATATATTAGTACAATGATGCCAAAAAGGACCGCCCCAAAAGACCCCTTATAGGTCACCTAAAAAGTCAGATTATCAGCTCCAGGAGCACCAGTGAAACGTGCACTGCATTTAATCAAAATCACGTTTGCCTAGCTTCTACATTTCCTTTTTCCCTTTTATTGAGTTACATTGTGCTACACAGTTTGGAAGATACTGCTCTTAGATAAGATGTTCATCAGCAGAATGTGGCAGGAGCTATCACTCCTGGTTTAGCATATATGGTTTCCACCTTGCACCAGAGAGATGGAAAAGCCCTTGAGCGAGACGTGACCAAGCCAGCTCCGGACCAAACTAGCAGGACTTTCAACAGTGCAAAACTGTCTTGTCCTAGGCTAGCCATCATTTCTGAATTTAGTTCAGAGCATTCACCTCATGGGCTAGCATGGCTGACTAGGTTGGATATAGCTATGCTGCTGTCAGGACTAGAAGAAACATCCCTCCTTAGGACTATTAGACCTTTTAGAGGTAGCATGGACTTCTCCACACTAGGTGTCAGTGAGTGGTACAGACCTCCACAGTCCTTTTTAATCACACATACACACACTGCTGCTGCACAAAATCTACTGCCTGACCCTCCCAAGCCTGCTGGCCCAGCATAGAAAGTCTGCTCGGAAAACTAGTTCTTGTTTTTCCTGTATGTGGAGTGTTTAGATGAGGGGATTTGGTTTAGGTCTATCTATTGTTTTATATTGAATTTACCAGCATACTTATCTAGATGATGAGTTAAATTAATCTGAGGAAAATGTGGGAAAGCACAGTAAAATATTAGCTGTGTTGTACTGGTTCTGAAATTTTTCTGAAAATTATTTTCCTTCCCAGAATGACACAGGTGGTCAGCGTAGTCTCGTGAACAAGTGGACAACATTCTTGAAAGCAAGACTTGTGTGCTCAGTAATGGATGAAGATGGAACAGAAACATATTTTGATGAATTAGGTATGGCAAAAAATCCCCTAAAAGTTTTATCTAAATCTTGCACCTTGTGCATATTTAATTATTGATGTTCATACAGCTCCTTAATCAAGTTGTTGACAGTGAAATCTTGGGTCTGTAGAAATCCATGACAAAATTCCCTTTGTAGTTTTATGACAGGAAATGAAAAAATTCCTCATTAATCTCTCTAGGTAATTATCATTATCTTTAAAATAAAACTAATTAATCTTGAGTATGTAAAGGAATTATGTATGTAAAGGAATTATGTATGTAAAGAATTAATATTTGGAGGGGAACATGTAAGTGATGTCTATTGTTATTGTGCTCCTGGTTAGGATTATGATAGAGGTTTTTTAACCTATGTCTCTTTGAAACTGTTTCTTATACCACTGTGTAACATACAGCTTTTCCGCAATACTTTCAATCACTGGGTAGAGGCCTCAATTTGATAGAACAAGATAATACCAATAAATACTGTTACTAGCACCAGCAATAATACTATAAATAAATATAATTTCTCAGGATTCATTCAGGCACCTAGCTTTTCAGTTCAACATGTGAAACACTGCAGATAATCAGTGAGTAACCTGTACAGCAATCACAAGACATTCCCTTTCATTAAGAAATTAACAAATGCATATCTTGATATTTAAGTGCCAAACAAGATTATCAGAAAGTTTTAATTCTATATTGTCCACAGCTGTGATGAACAAAGTCATAGTTTTAAATTCAGGTGTTGAAGTTTTGGTATGTGTATTAGTAGAAATAGAAATAATAGAAATAGAAAGAAATAGAAATAGAAATAGAAATAGAAATATAGAAATAGAAATAATAGAAGTAGAAATAGAAATAGAAATAGAAATAGAAATAGAAATAGAAATAGAAATAGAAATAGAAATAGAAATAGAAATAGAAATAGGAATAATATAAATAGCTAATGGGCCTCACACTGGAGCTGCATCTGATTCTGACCTTCTCTCCACTGCAATCGCTCCCTCTCTTTTCTGTGTCATTATTCCTGATTCTCATCATAGCAGGTGGGGTTTAGAGTGGTTTTGACTTTATATCTTTACAACTATTTGGCATACTTTCTTTGGTTCAAGGTTTCAGTGGAACCTGATGGGCCTAGGAGCAGATCCTAATTTGCTGTAACTCAGAACGTGCAAAGTGCTTGGAGGACTGACTTTCAGAAGTTCTCAGTGCCTCTTAACACTGCCAAAGCAACTTATCTTTCAGAACTGTGACTTACCAGCCGAATCCTCTTCAACAAAGCAGTGGGATAACTGCTTTTAGTTTTCTGTGTGACAAAATGTAGCACCATACAGAATAGGAGACAGTGTACTCAGCCTGGGCTCCCAGCACAATCCTCTAGCGAAGTGGAAGAACACAACCACAGGTGGAAATGCAGAAAATTAGGAGAGAGCAAGCACATGCTTCTGTTTTAATGTATAATGCAGAAAAGTGTAACGCTTACAGTTCTGCATGGTGAAGTCTTTTCCTTCTGATATATTTAAGAGAATATTTAATTAATTCAGAGGGTTAAATGAAGGAGCCACCTAAATTAATGGAAAGCTAAACATATTCTATGATAAAAAGCTCAAACAGTTCAGTCTTTTGGTGTGTTATAAAATAAGTTTAAGAAGTAGTTTGATTTTAGTTATTAAAAACATTTGTAAGGAGAAACTGTCAGAGATTAATGTAATTTTCACTGAAGTGTAAAAGGTAATCAAGAGATCAGAGGCAACGGTGGGCAAATTCAGTTCAGTGAGTAGATACAGTTTTGCATAGTGCAGTCAATAAATGCCTACACAACTGGAGCTGGGAGGTATACATCTTTCAGTGTCTTCAGTGCAAAGCTGTGTGCCATTCATACTGTGTTGAAAATGAGCTAATGAGAGCATCTAGACTGTGTACTGGACGATAAAACACCTAATTGTCCTGCTTTGGATTACATCCATCTATGGGAACTGCTTGTCTTTAACCTACTGCAAATTAAATGTTTGCCTACTGTTAAACAACCTGCTGAAACAAGACCCAGCTGAGAGAAATGTGCAACATGGATCCTGAACATATTTGAAAATCTTTGCCTTCTGTCTTCATGAGGCTAGATGGCATGGAGTTAATTTCCAAATCTGTTTCAGAATGTTCAAATGCTAGATTTACGCATATGGTCCATTCATACAGTAAGTCTGCTATTTCCCATTCAAGTCTGAGACAAAACTACTGTTAACTGCAGCAGGAACAAAGTAATAAATTAAACTCAAAAATAAAGTTTTTATTATTATTCAAAATGTTTTTTCTTTTTCTTTCTTACAGAGGATGTGTTTCTTTTAGAGACAGATAACCCCAGAACAACGCTTGTGTATGGAATTTTCACAACATCAAGGTAAATGGGGACATTTTAAAAAAGTTACATTTCTGAACTGCCCAGTTTTCTATATGAACACTGAAAGTGATGGTTTGTGGTCAAGGCTGTTATATGCAATTTTATCATGTCTGACGTGGCCATCAGTTGCATGCAGGAGTAACAGTTTCAGTATCATTCCTGTTAGTATCTGTGTTAGAGCTTTTCTGCTTGGAGCAAACCTCACCCTGACATACTGTCAGCTGGCATGGGGAAAACATTTCCATGGAGGGCCACTTGTTACCATTCAGCAGTGGAGAGCTAAATGACTTCAACACAGTGAACTCATGTGGCATCTGAGAGCACTTAACACCTCCTGAAGGACATCCAGCACCCTGAAAGATCAAATCGGAAATTCTTACATCAATTCATACAAATCATTTCCAGTCTCTCATCTGGCAGATGATGCACAGATGGAAAATAACCCTTATTGGCTTCAGCTGGCTATGAAAAGACAAGCTTATATGGCATCTGGTCACCAACTTGCAGCCTTAAGCTCCCTGTTATCAGTCAGTAGTATTTACTTACTGTCCAGTTTAGAAATCATTCAGTGAGCTCCTAAGGGCTGTGGAATTACTAGATATGGCTTACCAGGCTGAAACTCTTGACAAAGATAGACCAACAGGTGAATCAACAGATTCTGCCATCACCACCTTTATTTTTTTCACTTTTCTCTTGTCCTAACTGCAGTGGTAGTATGCAGAGTATAAATAGTAGAATTCACTTCTGATATGCTATCCTGTATTAATTAGTTGCTATTATTTACCTTCAAAGTGGTTTTCTGACTTTTTAAATATTTCATTTAATTTATTTGATCAAATTAGCAAAATTATTCAACTTATTGATAATAATTCCTTTAATGGCAATTTCTAGTAAAAAAAAAATCCTTGCATGGAAAAGATATTTTTTTCCAATGTATTGTTCTGTCTTTTTTCATGTGGATCCAGGGATCTGCTTTCTCAAATATGTGGATCAGCCAGGAAAATATGATTTTATGATACTTAATTGGGAAAAAAAAAATCACATAACTTGTAAACATCTGGTGCTGTCTAAATTTTATGGTTTCTACTGCACAGAAAGAGAAAATGCTGAGGTTATGTTTAGCAGTAAAACCACACTTGCGATTAGGTTGTAGATGCAACATGTCTGAACTGGAAACACTTTTACTTAATTCTCCTGGTATTCCTTCAGTGGAAATAAGGTTTGAATCACAGGACCATATAAGGTGACAACAAAGAGAAAACTTCACTTTTTCCTGGCTCTCAATCTGTTTTCTCTCTCTGTTGAAGTTTTTACACTCATACACTTCTGTTACCATGAATGACATGGTCTGTGCTTTCTTTCTCTTTGTTCAATTATAGATCGAATGTGTTACCTAGTTAAATACTGCAATCATAAAGATTTTTATTCCTGACCAGTTCCTTTACCTTCACCTCTGTAGACCTCCAATTCATAACAGTAGCAAGAGAAAAATATCCCAGAAAATAGTAGCTATTAGTATTTGTATCTAAACCATACAGAAGGAATCCAAGTAGTATTGAAGCAAATTATATTAGTGGCATAATCTGCTGTAAATCCAACATAAAACATCTGGAAAGACTAAATACATTTCTTAAAACCTATTAATACCTACTAAAATTCCCACAAATACCATAATCCATATAAAAGTTCCTCTTACTAATCCATATACATCTAAGAGCAATGTCATTTCCACTTCCCTTGTTTAGACACTATATGTAATGTTTTCAGTTTTTTCTGGAGTGTTTTTTTTTCTTCTTCAGTTGAAACCAGAGAGTTATTTGGATTATCTTCATCCTACAGTTAGCATCAGGCAGATTTTAAACTGTCCATATTTTCCACTTTGTTAAGATAAATATCTCAAACCTTACATGCAGTGGAGAAAAAAAGAAGTTAATTCAATTCAATCAGCCTTATCACAGGGTGATGGAGGCCATTCAGGGCTTGTGTTGTCTGAGACCATTGCTGAACCAGAGCAGTGGAAAAAACATACCCTTCTTATAGGTGACTGTCCACGTTCTTTTTAGGAACCATCAAACTTCAACCTTCTTGATGGGGTCTTTCTAAAACCAATTTTTGGGGTGGATTTAAGGACTGTATAGGAGTAATTCCTTTACAGCCACAACCTGTTCCTATTTTGCTTAGAAAAGCTGGCAACTGATTGTAACAATCTAACCAATTGTAATTGCACTGGATGTTTTGATTAATATTTTAGCCATGTATTTTAGGAGGATCATGGAGGTCTTGTGGTTAATATACTGGTAGGGAGTTCTGGAAACCTGTGCTGAGCTTGGAAGTACAAAGTTTATAAAACTCTTGTCTCACTGAAGTCAGCAATATTTTTGCCATTTATTTAACTGGGGCCAGATTATATTTCTTTTATATTCAACATTACGAAATTTTCTTATTGCACCAGTAGGGTACTACCTTCCTCCCTCTTTTTTCACTTCACTGTTCAAAAAGGTGTTAGGTTTTAAGGAGTAATGGAGTATATTAGGAAGCTAGATTAGTTGATTTAAAATGTATTAAATCCATGCTATAGAAGCATTAAATTGTATTAAATATATTATTTTAGAGGTATCTTTCATCATTGTACCATGCAAAATGATGGAAAAGCTAAACAAAGGTTGATAGATTGCAATACTACCTTTTTCTTGCTGTCTTCCAGCTCTATATTTAAAGGCTCAGCCGTGTGTGTTTATCATCTATCTGACATCCAGACCGTGTTCAATGGGCCATTTGCACACAAGGAGGGCCCAAACCACCAGCTGATTCCATATCAGGGCAGAATTCCATACCCGCGACCTGGCACTGTAAGTCCAAAGATGTTTATGCAGCCTTGCCAATTACTTGTCTTTGTTTAATACATAAATAAATACTGTTTTTTCTAGGAGAACAGACTATATGTGACTATGAAGCTTAGTTAAAGTTCTGAACAATTTTATTTGCTTCTCAGCTTGTCCTACAAATCACATAGTATCTGGAAATCTTGTCTAAAGAATAAAAACTCATGCAAAAGGTTTAATCACTTGCTCTTTCTGCTGAAAAGGTGGTAAGAATTATTTCATTAGATGACAGTCCTCTGGTTTACATGTACATTTACATTTTGTGGGTATGTTTGGGCAAAAGATAGCTAAATAAATATGCATACAAAGACACATTGTGAGTGTGTTCTACAGTCTGGATCCAAACATCTGTAAATCTGTCTTCAGTCTGTATGAATTTTCCATAGTTCTCTAAAGTGTTGCAGCTCTACTAGGATGATTGGGAGATGTAGTACGAGAACAAGATTTCTGGGACTTGTCGTTTGACTAGCCTTAATACCCTGCTGGGTACTGAATATTACAAGAGAGAACCAGAAATAGATGAGCTTTCATGCCAATCACTTCATTGTAGTCTTCTTGTTAAGACTGAGTTTTGTATGTCTTGAAAAATTTTCAGGACTTTCTTTCACTGTATCAGGGGTAGCAATTATCTTCCAATAAATTCTGTACACCACTAGAACTAGCTCTATTTCCAAGTTGTACAAAAATGTCTTATTAAAGATTTTAAAAAATTTTTTTTCACCTTTATGATGTATAAAAATTGCTGTTGATGCACTTTTGTCTCTATTTACTTATTTGCACTATTCTTAATTTAGATTAAGCGGAAGTATGAAATCTAGTATTTCCATCTTTAATGAAGAATGTATGAACTTTCTCTAGAATCTTCTCTAAATGCATATTTCCTAAATGAAGTATAGTAGTGTGGAATTCTGTTGACTCCTATGAAATCTTCTTACATTTTCTTAAGTATCAGAATTTAGTAAGTATGCAGAGAATCATAAATCTTCTCTCAACAATGTAGTTATTTTTTTTTAGATGAACACTTTGCTGCTTTGCCATTTATCACAGAAAATTATTTTAATTTTGCAAGTCACTGTAAGAACCTTTAACCATTTCACTATTTCATTCATATTCATCTTTGTGCTGTAGATCTTGTTCTTTCTCTTTTTCTCTCATACACTAATGCTCAGATACATGGAATAGTTCTCCTTGTTCACACAATTCTTCATGACATTTTACTGCAGTTATTACTGGCTATAAGATTTAGGACTTTATGTTCCCAGATCTCTAGAATTAGATAATCAATACCTGATATTCCACTGAGATCTAATGCTAGTATTATTCTTTCTTTGCAATTAATTCATACAGCTCTAATCTCATGAGTTCACTGAGGCTTTAAGCTTAAACTTTACAAAAAAATAAAATAAATGGCCCATTTAAACAGGAAGTTTCACACTCTTATGATTAATCACATTTCAGAGTTGCTTGCTGCTTCAGAATACTGTATTTGTACGTGTTTCCTCAACTTCTGGCATGTTATTCTTGGTTCGCCTTATGGAGGTTTATGAGGTATTCCAGATGGACCTAAAGAAATGGAGCAGCACAATGGAAAGGAAAAAGAAAATTCAGATTTGGATTTAACATGGTGGCAGAAACTATCTACTTTTTTTCAGATGTGCCAATGAGTTCTGAATTTGAAGATAAATTCTTAGATCATAGCTCATACAAAACATAAGCCAAAAGAGAATCTTTTAAGTTTATCATTGCTGGTTTTCTGATCACTGGCATTTCTGCGTTTTGTGACAATTCAGCCACAATACAGTATCTTAAAGGTATATTTTATAAGCTGGGACTTGTTTGGCTTTGCTTTTATTCCACTGCCAAAATGTTCCAATTTTAAATGCATGCCACAAAGGGTATTTTTCACTTATGTCAAAGCAAATGTAAAAATCAGGACTGAGGACATAAGGACTTTTTTCTGCTCAGAATTTGTGTTCAGTGTTAACTTTGAAAAGCCACACTTGCAGACTATAGGACATGAGCCTCTTTCCTCTGGAATATAGGTTTTTTGCAACTTCTGGGATGCTTGACTAGACAGGGATGCCTTTTTATATGACTTGGAAAATCCTGCTTTACAGTTTCCTAAAGAGGTATCTATACTAAAACTCTGGACATAAATGAATGTTCATTGTGTCCCAGTACATTGGATAAACAAGGAAAAGGCTTTGGTATAGCTTCAGTAGGATTAAATAAAGCAATACGTTCATTTGGCCATAATCAACTCCACAGTGTTTGGCTGCCCTTCACTAAATACCAATGGTATCTTGTTTCTCCACAAGCAAAACTTACTTATGGAAAAAGAAAGGGAAAAAAATTACATAATTGGCAGCTTGCTACTCAACTCAGTGATGTTTGAGGATAGTTTCCATTTTTTGGAGTTTACAGAAATAGTTTCGGTACCTACAGCAAGTTGGGGAATATGCTGTAAATTAAAGAATTCTGTTTCTCTCTGCAATCTAACTGCATGGTGATCGACTGTGAACATGTGTCGTGTAGCCAAGTCCTTGAATGAAGTGTGAAGGATACACATTCAATCCCTTCAGGAAAGAGAGAGCTTATAGGGTTCTTCAGTAATATCTTTTGCTTGTCATTGGTTCGTATGTGGGATAGGAAAAGAATTAATTGAAGACGTTTGTTAAGGCTGCTTTGCTCAGAAAAATGATATAATGTAAGTTTTTAGGGTCATACTGGGGTGAACCATAGCACAGACATTTTTTCAGGAAGACACAGAAAAAAGTCTTACAATCTCCAAGTCAAGAATGGAAGGATAGAAGGTATCATAGGAAATCTTCTAACTGAACTATGTGGGACAAAAAAGTTTAATTTGAACTTCTCATGAAACAGAATCCCTCCAGAGAGGAACTGGGGTCTGGCAGATCACTACTAAGTAGAATAATCTTGCTAATAGCCCACAAATTTATGAACACAGTTCTTTTTTCAGCATTTGTTGATAATTTTATCAGATAGCTCCGTACTTTTCCTGGAAGACTGTGGATGGAAGTACCACAGAGGGGAGGAGTAGAGCAAACAAGATAAGAATTATATTTTGTGAGCAATATTAGAGAGCTAGCATGTAGTGTCATTTCTAGTGAGAACCAAACCAAAACCTTCAGTATGAGTCCAGAAAAATCAATTGTCAGGCATGTCAGATGAGAAAAGAGACCTATATCTGAGCTGAGTTCTAGTTCTTCTTCCTGAAGGTAACTGATGCTAGAGCAGTTTCTTTGAAAGAATTCCTACCACAGCTGTTCTAGTTTGCATAAATAATTTAATCATAATTGAGCCAGAAGATGATTCTAAAGCCTGGGATTCCTGGTATTTCCCGATGAATAGCTTATTAGGTGCACAAGATGGAACAGCTTTCAGCAACAAGGGTAGAATGGGCACTCCTGCCTGGTGTTTAGAGGGATCCTCCGAGAGGTGAAGACTCAGATTCTGACATTTGATCACATCAGGTAGGTTGGATACATGACTCATATATCCCCAGTGAGTTTCCTAGTCTTTCAGAATATGATTCATTTTATGTAATTTTAGCCATCTAAAAGCAGGGCTTCTAGTCTGAATTACTGACTACAGAGGAAACTTAGGTGGCTAACTAAGAATAAGTGCCTGACTTTGAGACAGTAGAAGTCAGGTGAGGTAAATCTCTCCCTAAGCTACTAGCTATTTTTGTGTCTGTGGTTTTGACCAGAAATTCCATTCTAGATGAAAGAATGGTCCTCATCAAAATAAACAAGTTTCCATGAAATGCTTCATATTGAACAAATGAACATTTTCCAATTAGAAAAATAGTGTTGAAACATTTCTGAAATAGTCTAATATGCTGAGGAGAGTTTCACAGCTCAGAAATCTGGTAAAGGGGGAAACAAAAGCTCAGGAGCAACAATAAAAAGTGTGTAACAGTAGCTGAAAAAAAAAAAAAAGTCATGTAAATTAACATAGGTACATCAAGAACTTTGTATCACTTACTGACATAGTTCCTGATTTCTGCCCAGTCTTCTAGTTTCACTCTCAGTAAACACTTGAGTTTTCTAAGATTGCTCTAAGATTTCCTCATGAGGTCCAGAATGCCTCAGGGCTGATTATTTGGATGATTCTTCATTACATTTGTCCTGGGTTGAGTGAGTGGTGGAGTTTTTTTGGTGGCAGGGGAGGGGGCTATAGGGGTGGCCCCCTGTGAGAAGCTTCTCGAAGCTCCCCCAGCTGCAAGACAGCTCCACTTCTGTTTGGAAAATTGAGCCAATCAGCTGCACCTATGCGATAACGTATTTAAGAAGGGACGTGGTGACGGGCAGTCGGACTTGTGAGGAGGAGTTGCTGCAGCTGCGTGAACACCAAGGTCAGTGGAGGAATGGAGGAAGAAAGGAGGGGGGAGGTGTGCTGGAGCAGAGACCCCCCTGTACCCTGTGGTGAGATGGCAGGGCAGCCCCCCCCCCGCCACCCATGAAGATCTACGGTGGAATAGACATTGATTTATGGCCTGTGGCTTCTGCTTGGCTGGTCAAAGTGCTGTGCCCGAAGAAGGCCAGGGTCTCATGGGAAAAGGTAGGCCCGCTGCTGTAATTCAGTGCTGGGAGGATTGCAGCATGCGGGGGAGTCCCACGCCGGAGCAGCTCGGGAAGGGCTGCAGCCATGGGAGGGACTCCGGTTGGAGAAAGTTGGTGACCCATGATGGAGCAGTATGGGGAACTCTGTGGCCCATGGGAGGAACTCATGTTGGAGAAAGTTTGTGGAGGACTGTTGGAGAATGGCCCAGAGACAAGGGTCATGAGCCCACCGAGCAGTTGTATGATCAGAGCCTGTTCTAGGGGCTGATGCTGGGCCTCACTAAGGTTTGCCTGCAGCTGCTGATACGTGAAGAATGTCAAGGATGCTTCGGCCTTGTGTACCATGGTGTATCGAAAACAGGTGAAGAGGAATTAGAAATAGTGGCCTGAGAAACCTATTGTTATGGTACCGTTGTCCTGAGAAACTTAGTGTTATGGTACCGTTGTGTATCGAAAACAAGTTAAGAGGAATTAGAAATAGTGGCCTGAGAAACTTAGTGTTATGAGAAGCTTGTGCTGTTCGCTAACCGCAAGTAGGTGGATCGTGCGAACACGACCTTTAGAGCTTAAGCCAATCAGCTAGTGACTAGTAGGCATAATAATTGTCATTGTCTGTATAAATATATGTACCCTGGACTAATAAAGGAGATAAACAATGCTCTATCACCCACATTGAGTCCTTCTCGGCACTTTGTTCCTCTGCCGCTCTGCAGAGGACTGTCTCCTGTGAGAGGGGGACCACGCTGGAGCAGGGGGAAGAAGTTCCAGAAACTCCCTTCACTGAAGATAAAGGGAAGTGGCAGCACTGACTGCACCCCCCCATTCCCCGCCCCTGCGCCACTGCGGGGAGGAGGTAGAGATATCAGAAGCAGAGCTGAGCCCGGGAAGAAGGGAGTGCTGGGGGGGAAGTTGTTCTCAAGATGTGACAATGCTTCTCACTGTCCTACTCTGTTATGTGTTGTTAGTGTTTGTAATAAATGTATATTCTTTTTTTTCTTCCCCTAATGAGTCTGACTTTTGCTCATGACCATAAAGGGGGATTTTTCCCCATCCCAGTCTTATCTTGAACCCCAAGCCTGGCTCTCTGTCCCTTCTCATTGCTGGAAGAGAAGGGAGAGAGAGCCGCTGCGTGGTGGTTGGCTGCCAACCAGGCCCAAACCACGACAACATTTAAAGCATCAAGGTTATTCATGGACCTCTGCTATTTCTCAGGCATAGGGGAAAGTATGGACAAGATCCTGTGAATGTTCAGTCTTCTCAGATATAAATGTGTTTTCATGGGACTCCCTCTTCAACTCCATATTATTGCTTTTTCAAATCAGGATGAGTCACAGACCCTTTCACCATCTCATAGTCATGACTAGTGGGATATTGACCAAATTACAGTTAAGTATCAGATTTTACCTTTTGCCTTTGTACTAATTCTATAACAAACTAGCTGCAAGAATTTGGTGTCTTCCTATACCAATCACTTGGATTTTTTTTCAGCAGGCAGCTTGGAAGCATAAAGAATGTGGAAATGGGTCCAGAAGGATGAATCTTTGCCATCAAGCTAGGTTTTGAAAGTGCAAATATACATTTGTGTTTGCTTTATCAGAATTGACGGGAACTCAAAGCATAGCTATTCAAGCACTTCATTCCCGTTACTGGAACATAATTACTTTCAGTCAGAGTCTGAAGTGCTCTTTCGGGAACTTACTTTGTCAAATATCCATCAATATTTATAAATGACTTGGAGATGAATACTCTCTGAAAGATGGTAACTATTGTTAAACATTACTGTGCATGTTTCTTACAGTGTCCAGGAGGAGCCTTCACACCTAATATGCAGACAACCAAAGAGTTTCCAGATGATGTCGTGACCTTCATCAGGAATCACCCTTTGATGTTTAATCCCATTTACCCAATACACAAGAGGCCGTTAATCATTCGGATAGGAGCTGACTACAAGTATACAAAGATTGCCGTGGATCGAGTGAATGCTGCTGATGGAAGATACCATGTCTTATTTCTTGGAACAGGTAAGACAAACTTAGAAACAGGCATTTTCCTCCAATGCATTATAATTTGCAATTGACTCCAATTTGTACAACTTACAGCTTCCAAAAATGTTTGTTTAAACATATTTGCTATCTACAAAAATGTCTATAGAAATCCATAAATTATGTTCTTTTTGCTTTTTGTGTATTTTTATGCTAAGTATAAATGTTAATTATGTGAAAGACATACAAAGTACTGATATGATTTTTAGAGACAGAAATCAACACTAGTGTACATTGTATTTGATTTAACTTATACTATTTCTCTTGCATATCGTTTGTCTGCAACATGATTCCACATTAGCATTTGATGCTCTCTAACATGAGTAAAAATACCAAAATCTGCCTTCATATTGTTTTGTATACACTCATCAATATTATTTAATATATGCTGTGTAAGCTACTTCTGAGGAAAGACACAATCTGATCAGGATGTTACAAAGGCAGAAATAGCAATTCCATTTTAAAACCATAAAAATATGGAAGTACTTAGCAGAGAAAAAGAAATAAATGGTTGGACTCCTAGCAGTAGTGGACACAGAGAATTTGATCCAAGTATTCTAAAATAATTTCTGTCTAATATAACCTACATTTTGGTCTTAGTTACATAAAATTTGAATCTGGTGTTATGCTTCTGAAGTCTGCAGGGAACAGGTCAAGTGATTCACATAATAATAAATTTTGATTTTTTTTAAATATTCAGATAGGAATCACTCTCTGCTGATTGAAGGAGACAAGCAGACTGATACTCTGGCTAGGATTCATTCGCATCTGAAACTCCCACTGGCTAAACAGGGTATTATAAGTTGATAGGCACAAAGGCTAATCTTTTTTACTTCAGATGATTTCAAGTAGAACAAAGGAAGAGAACTCTGGGAGAAGAAATATATCTCTGAACATCAGAAAATAATTACAGAGACAGCTTGCATTGCTTTTATGGTTTAGATATTATTGGAGTCCTGATAGTTTTCTGCTTGTAGAATAACTGTGTCTGCCAGCAAACTTCCATGGGGCTGGGAATAGCCATCCTGTTATAATAGATTTAGGAAGCTGATGCTAAAATGTCTCTCAAGAATGTCAGGCTTCTATAGGGGTAAGGTTAGAAGGAACTCTCTTCACTCTTCTTAGAAAAACCTCCCCAACTATCAAAGTCAGCAGGGTGCCCTTGTGTCAAAGGAGGCCAACTGCATACTGTGTTGTATTACGAGAAGTGTGTCCAGCCAGCAGGTTGCTGGAAGGGATTCTTCCCTGTATTTGGCTTCTGTCAGGAGTACCATGCCCAGTTGTGGGCTGCTTAGTACAAGAAAAACATTGACGTAATGGAACAAGATCAGTTGAGGGACTTTAGCATGTGATGTATGAGAAGAGTGTGAGAGAACTGGGTTTATTCAGAGAAAGCTAAGGGGAGATCTTACTGCTGCTGACATCTACCTCCTGGAAGGGTACAACTATCTAATGGGAAAAAACAGATCTGGACTCTTCTCAATGTGCTCAGTGTCAGGGTGAGAAGAATTGGATGAGAGTTGCAATGTGGGACATTGCAATTAGATATAAAGGAAAAAGTTTTCACCATCAGCATGATCAAACATTGGAACAAAGGTCCAGAGAGGCTGTGAATTCTTCATCTTCAGAGACTCAAAGGAGTCAAACCCAGCCCTGAGCAACTTGCTTTAACTGGACCTGCTTTGAGTGTGAGACTTCTAGAGGCCTCTTACAGCCTATGGGGTTCTGCAGTTCAATGAAAGGAAATAGGGAAACAGAAACATTTCATTCATGTTCTGGTGTCAGACATTTGCCAGGTCATCATCTGCTGTACTGTGAATGCTTAGTGTACTATAAAGCATAGTCGAGGTGGAAGAAGCTCTGGGTAATGAATTACATTAGGAATTTTGTCAGGTTTTGGTCTGAGTATTTTTGTTTTCTTGGTTACTAGTTGATATATGAGTTTTAAGATATTCTTGAAGATCTCTCTGATCCTACTTGCAGAATCATTGGAAACTACCAAATTAAGCTAATTAAGGCAGGACTTTCTTCTTGAGGTGGGAGTTTTTTCCCCTCTCCCTAATATGTAACCACATTTTAGTTTAATTAATGCAGCTACAGTTCTTGACTTTGGGACCCTTTAGGGTGATTTTCCTCCTCTCCTACAGAAGTAAAGAAAAGAGTTTTCATATACAACTGTAGAAATATCAGAAGTGTTAATAGATATTGTCCCTACTACTGTTATACAACTCCACAAGAACACTTAGTAAAAGAAAAGGCTTAGTTTTCTATTGACTTTATTCCTTGACAGATCACTATGTTGAGCTGGAGTAGCAGCTTGGTAGGCTAGTACAGATCTTTCAAAGGAACATTATACGCATTTTTTAATACAGTGGTGTCATTGTTTTAAAATGCTCTATAAATATCTGATGTTAATTGGAGGAAAAATCTACTAAAGTTTAGTGGAAAAGAGTTTCCAGCTAATATAGAGTTCTTAATACAGCAGTGATAGTTAATACTGGAAATTTATTGAAATTTTGAAATGTGCATGAAAACAAAATGGTGATGTTTATCAATTAAATAATTCTTCAAGAGATAAATACATGTAATTTGATTTCATACTTTGATTAGATTCTGACTGGTTTTAGGTGATCACTGTGGCTTCACGCATAGACCTGTGATTCACTAAAAACATTAGCATACCTCAGCTTGTTTGTATATTTTGTTAATCCTCTTCTGTGTATTGACACAGGGCAGGATCCATTATGGATGAAATATGTAAACTGCAGCTCTTGATACTTTATATTCATTGTTTTATCTTCTGCATTACACTGGCAATGAGGATCATTGTCTGCTTTCTAGTTAGAGGGGAGGCATTACTCTCCTTGAGTAGGGTACAGCACATTAATAGCTACCAAGGTCTTCCTCAGAAGAAATTGGTGTAATGTAAGTTACTGCATTTCTCAGTCCTTTTAAGTAAAAATGATCAAGTTTCAGCCACTGAGAGGAGAAACTTGTTTTCTTTATTCTTTGCTTTCTGTGAGACTCAGGAGGATTCGAATAGAGATATTAACTGTCAAAAGGAATGCAGAGGGGATTTGCTTTGGTGTCAGTTCATCTCAGCAAATGCGAAAACCACATTGTATAGGAGAATTTCATGTGATAATTTCCTTGGGAGCCTGGAGCCCCACAGCCAGAGACAATGGGACTTGACACCTGGTGACAATTACACTCAGCTCAGATGATGAGTTACTGTTGCTGAACTGAGATGTTGCCAGTTATGTCTGTCACTGTCAGTGACCTGTCTCATGCTTGAAATTGTAGTGTTTTATGTCTTGCCAGATGCAGAGCACACAAAATGTTTAGCTTTTCCTCTCTTCCTCCTCTATGGCCTTGGTAATAAATCACTTCCTGAATGCAAGTGAAGAATAACGGAAGTATAAAGCTCCAAGAACCCCAGTGGTTTTTATCATGTAGCCATGGCATGGGAGGGCATAGGCAGCTGTGTCATTTTTTCACATTAATGTGAACTAAATGTAGTGTATCCTTTGCGCCCCCAGACAAAAGTGCTGAGCTCACAGGGGCTGGTCCATGCCCACAGTTAATACATTGCTTTTCTCCCTCCCTCGCCTACATAACTACCAAAATAAATTTCAGGGACAGACATTGTTCTTGCAGCATTCCACCCACTTTTCAAATGATAACAATCTCCTGTTTTCCCTATGCTTTTCAACATGAAGAATCCTAAAGTTTTGTTAAATCCACCCAAAGGGAACTCTTCATCCCCCTCTGAAATGAGCAGATTTAGAGTAAGGAGCAAGTCTTTAATGGTAGAGAGCAGTGCTACAAGTGAAGAGTGCCATATACCTCATCTTCCCTAGCAAAAACCCAAGGGATAATTCACTTGGATAGAATGTAATCACCCATTAACATATTTGAAAAGGGCGATGCTGATAACACTTCTTACCTATGCAATGAGTAATAACATACTCAGTTCAGGAATCTGGGGTTAGAGTTCTGCTTCGATTATCCTGTAGGCCAGGACTCAGTCCTGAAGTTTTTGATTCACCCTAGAGATTTACTGTAGTTACTTTACTCATTTCAGTTATATCTGAAGAACCCAAGCTTTCAATATTTTCTGTTTATCCTTTGGTAGATTGTTTTACATCTGAGTTTTAAGAACAGCAGTAAAACAGCATGGAAACATTTTCCTGAGATTAATATTTATTTTTTTAAGCATGCCACCTACTGATTGCAGTATGAAAGCCTTTGGTCAAAGTACACGCAGATTGCACAACCAAAAGATTATGCATCGGGTTTTTTATGGCTCTTGGTGTTATGAAAATGTTTAAATGTCTGGGTCAAACTTGGGTACATTAAGCAGCCGTGGGCACCCACAGGATTTTTTCAGCTCCTTGCTATCAAGATGGGATATGTTTTTGTGGAAAGAGATCTAAGCTACTCTCATGAAAAGGCACTGCAGACTTCAGTGTGGCTTATTCATATGATTAATGTGGGCCACATGCATCTGATGTGGCATGAGGTTGATCAATGTTTCTTATTAAATTTTCTTCTCTGATGCAACACTTGTTTTCAAAGTCTGGATGCAGTAAGTGCCTTCAGAGCATAAGGTTGTAATACTCATTTTCATGGTGTTACATGACGGCTGTATTTCTGGAAAACTAACCCTTGCTGACAACGGTAGCCTCCAGTAATGCAATAGCCAAAATCATATAATGAGCTACAGTCTCTAACAGAGAGAGATAATCTGGCCAGAAGAGCAAGCTTGCCTGCCGTAGATTTGCTGGTTTGCAGCTTCATGACTGTGAGCTTGGGAAGATGATGTTGCACAATTGTGGCACAACAGGCAGCAGACAGAGCTTCCTTCTTCCTCTTGGTCATAGTGTCATTCAAAACCTTTAATTGACCAAGTCATCCAAAGCTTTTTCACAGCCTTTTAAGAAGATATGAAAATTAAGAGGATGTTCCTCCACCTGTTTCATTTCCCTTGTTCAGTTTTAGTTCAAACAAGTGTCCCCAAAAAGTTTGACTGATCTGGGGCTATGTAAAAGTTTTGCTCTCAAGTGTGAGCTCGTTAGATGCTTGTATCTGTCTTTTTGTTCTTTGATGCATGTTGAATTTTACAAAGTTTCACAGTAATACTATGAGCTAGAAAAAAATTGCACCTATTTGACAGATGAGTGAACTAAAGCACAGAGAGGTTAGGTGGCTGTGTTGGCAGCTCTGACTTACAGTAGTCACCTAAGTACATGAGAGAGTGTGGGCACCAGGATCTCAGCCCTTACTAACCTGCCATTATCACAGGTGCTCTGCTGAGCCTCAAAATTTTCTCAGAGAGATTTTAAGCATTCTGAAAACTCTTTGCTTTCTTTTTTCTTTGTAATTTTATTTGTTTGCATCAGGTTCAGCTAAGATTAGAGACCAAAAATAATTAAGCTGCATTAGGCTGACAGGTAGAATATGGAGAAAAGTTTTCAGAGGGTCTCCAGCAATGTCAGACACATCAGGGAGGGGTATTATTGCAGGAAGTCTCTCTGTGAAACTCCTGTCAAAGTAGCAGTTGGTGTCCATTGCAGTCAATTTTTTATGATGTGGAAATGTCAGATTTTTTATTTGTTGTTCCATTTGTGCATGTGATGTGGCTCCAGGTAGATGGGTCCTGACTGAGCCTTACAATACTGACAACTGAAGTGTTCACTTAGGGCTGGGGAAAGAAAAGCTAGTTGAAATTCAGAGAATGAGGTTTAAACTGAGAGCTGCAGATTCAGCCAAACCCCTGTGCATTTTTTGTTGCTATTCATTAAGCTTTGTCTTTTCCATTGCCCATGGTCAGCCACACCAAGAATTAGTATAATCGGGCATAGTCCAACTAGTATCAGTGAAGCTTAGCTGATTAATACCAGCCCAGAATCATGCCCTGCGTTTCAAGGAATATTTATTCTTAATTCTTATTCTTTGTTATTCTTATTTATTTGTCTCTTCTTCTTCCTTCCTTGGAACATTTATTGGACTGCCTTCCTTCTCCATTTATTTCCAACTCTGCACCATTTTTTAGCCTACAGGATGTTAGCACTTTCCTTCCTTGCTGTTCCCTGTTTTTCAGTCCTCTCAGAGGGAACACAATCTCAGTAACACCATCTTCCATGTCAGGCTGGGGGACCTGCAATCGTTCAAGCAGGTTTGAAACAGAAATACATTATGAGTTGCTCTTGTCCCCTTGCTGTCAGCTTGAGGGAGATTCCTTCTTGTTTGTCTGTCTGCCCTTCACTCACAGACTGCTGGGCTGGTGTGAGGCTGCAAACAGCTCCTGGTGAAAAGTCAGGGAATTGGAGAGTATAGATCTGCCTCTGCACTTCATGCATTCCAGTGGTGGATTGATATTCTGGAGACACAATAGCTTTTTTCATGACTATGTGAAATAACAATATAGAACTGTTTTCAAGTGGATTTCTGGAAGTATCAAGTAAACCACAAAGGAAATCATCCTGTTCACTTTGATGATTTTGACAGAATTACCTTATAATTTCATACACTGACCTAAAAGTGAAAAAATTTTACTTATACTTGTTTAGTGATCTCTTATGCCTTGCTTAGAACACAAAAGATTATCTATTGTGAAATACACTAGGAAATAGCTCAGGCACTGCTACTTTGCATATATCTCCTGCAGTGCACAGCGCTGCATCCTTTCCAACCTTCCTTCTGACCCAGGGAATTTAGTTTACTGTCTTGCCATTAAAGGAAATAAGCAAATAAGGTTTTCAGCAAAACTCAGATGTACCATAATCTTTCTGACATGAACACGTATAAGTGACTTGATTTGTCAGTTACTGTGCTTATAATGGAGACATCAGTACTACTGAGAAAGGAGTTAGAAGTATTTCTGGTGCACAAATAATTGCTTTTCATTTATTAAGGAAAAGGCTGAGCAACAGTAGAAAAGATATTTTTAGAAGTTGTGGAGGACTATAGCCTATAAGCCATGTATTGTTGGAAGTATGTGTATACATATATGTTCAGACCATTGGAATCCCCTGCTTTAAGTGATTTTATTTAATGAATAGCTTTCTATTGCCTACTTTCACTAACATGAATATTTATTTTAAATGTTGTATTGTTTCCTTTGAGAAAATGGATTGTTTCTTTCTGCAAGGATCTGTCCTTTATGGTACAATACTAAGTCAAAGCAAATGGTAAAATATTGAGTCAGAGGGAATGAATACCAAGGTAAACAGTCCTTAACTCTGTGTATTTTGCTGGGGTGTGACAAAAAGGTAGATAAGAACCTACTTTTCAAACAGAAAAGGTTATTAGGACACAAGGACTTGGCGTCAGACATTAGCAGTATTTTCTGTGCCAATGCCCAGGATAAAATCTTCCCTTGGGTTCTTGTTTCAGTTCAGGGCAACGTTTGAGGACTGAAGACAATTTAGGAATTTTAAATATGTGGCATGTGCTAATGGATCATTGAAATAAACTGGTTCTTCAGAGGCTCAGCAGCCTCACATTCCTTTGTAGGTAAGGTCACTGTCAGCATGCTTAGCGCCCTGTATGTCAGGGTTACAGGTTTGCAGGCAACTGAAAAAAAACACAAAAGACTGCAAATCCTTCCTGAATTTCTGATACTGTGTTTTGTCTGGTATAGTTAAATGTTAGAGAGAGACATTGATAAAAGAATGCAAAGAAGCAGAGGTAGAGTGGACTTCAGGTGTGTATATTTATGAGTGGGTTATTACCTTTAGCAGAAGCAGTACACATACACAAGCACATGCTTCTCCTTAGCTCCAACAAGGGATGCATCTGCAGCAGTTTAAAGCTTCTGTGGGACATGGGAGTTAGTAAATCTCTTTCAGGTTCTCATAGTTTTGCTAATAGTGGCACCCAGTCTAGACCACAGCTGTGCTATCACAAGATTTAGTTTCAGTAAAGTTTCTTCGGAAGGAACTGGTTTATCGTGCCATTGTATAATGAGAATACATGTTCTCCATAGAAAATTCTCATGAAAAATTCATGCCTAACATGCCGTGAGCCTGTACAATTGATAGCTACACATTTTTAAGTCTTGTCAGCCTTCAATTTCTCTTTTCCTTTTTTTTTCTAAATGACAAAATACTGCAATGTGTCCTCTCTGTGTGTGGTCAGGCCATTACATATCAATATTCTGGCTTTAAACCTTTTTTTTTTTTTTTTTTTTTTTTTTTAAAAAAATAAAGTATATTATTATTTGTTAGCTTCCTCCAGGGAAATAAGAAGATGTGAATTATTTACTGTAACCAACTTGCCCTGCAGCTCCAGATATGGAATCTAGTCACTGACCTTAAAATCAAATGAAAAATTGCCCTTTTTCAGTTTATGTTGTCTACATAATGAATTGCAAAAGAGGAAGCTGAGATTTCCTTTTCTCAGTCACAAATTCATAAAAATACACATAGATACTTACCTATATTGTACTCTACTAATGTTTTACTAACCACATAAGTCTATATTGCTCATAAAACTTTTGAAGGCCAAACAGAAACTGTACCATGTGGTCTCATTCCTCATTATCAATATTGAGAAAATAAATTTATTCTAGTCAGACTAATTTCCAGGCCTTTCAGGCAAGAGGAATTCTATGTGCTGTGCTTTTTCCAAGTAAAAATTCTTGCCCTTGTGAATCTCCCACAGTCTGCCTTTTCTGCCACATGAGAAATATTTCAGTGGCTGTCTCAGTCTTTAAGAGCCTTCACAGATGGATCCCTCCATCTCATATATTCTTTCCACATAAAAAATTTGGAAAACTAATCACAAATATCCCTTTGGTCTCACTCATCACATCTACCCTTCAAAAATACTACCACTGCCCCATCCATCTTACTTCTCATTCCTTTGCTCTGAGTGGATTTGGGAGGCTTGGAACTGTATTTTGGGAGGTCAGCCATAATAGAGTAGCTACAATACCCTCACCTTGCTTTTCCTTTTTTCTTTATGGACCAAAATATTAACTCCTACCAATATGTAATGGACTTGATTATTCTTTGACTTTCCTGGAAAAAAAAAAAAAAAAGCTTTCATCTTACTTTGTTTAGGTGTAGATAGAGTTATTCTTTGGAAGGTTTACCTTTCAAGTCACCAGTTGTCATTATATTTTATTAATGAATATGAATTTATATTAAATTCTGCAGTAGCTCCCTTTTACCTGTTTATATTGCTGTGTTTTTACCTTAAGATCATGGGGATAGATACTGCCTTTCTATGTGTGTCTGTACAGTAACTAGTACAGAAGATACTGATTTTGATTGATCTTTTTGGGTAGAATAGTAACAGTCTTGGTAGTAACTCCAATCTTACTATGACTTTTTCATGTTCATATAGGAGAATAATACTATACATAGTGTTCCTATATAAGGAGTCATCTCATGGTTCTTTCTGACCTCAAACCTTAGAAATTACTGAACATTTCTTATCTTTCTCTATGTCATAGTTCTTGCTCTGATGGTTTCTTTATAATTGATAATGGTTCATTTTTTCTTCCTTGCTCTCTGTCATATGGTCTCACTTTTTCTTACCTTTTCCAGATCAAGGAACTGTACAAAAAGTTGTTGTCCTACCCACCAACTTCTCTGCAAGTGGAGAACTAATTTTGGAAGAACTGGAGGTTTTTCAGGTTTGGCTTTTTCCTACTTTTACTCTTCCAATGTGTACGTTCACACAAACACTTTGTTCTGAGAGATCTCGGCAGAGCCAACTGTGACTTGATAGAAGATTAAGTAAATATGCATACTGTAAGCTTGATACCCACCAAAAGATGAATATGAAACGTCCACTGTTATGAAGGCTGTAGCTAGCCAGAGTCCTTCTTTTATCCTGTATTTAACTTGTTATTTTTTATGTTATTATACTGGCTAGAAGGATTTTGATAATCACATTTTTACAAGGTCATGTTATAGTGGCTGCCAGAAGGCAAATTTTATCATTGGCATCACATATTGAGACAGATGGAATCTGGGAATTTTTTACTTCTTTGATTATCTGATAATCTTACTGATTCCAAGCTGCAGAATAGAAGCAAACTAGTGTTGGTTTTGCTTAACTCCAGTTCTTCAAATCCACATGCCTCTGGAGTCAAGAAAGCTACAAGCTTAACACAACATAAACTGAAAAGAAACACAAACAACTACAGGGAGAAACAAGGGAATAGCCTCTGTCAATCACTCAGGCATGTAGCAGCTTGTAATAACCAAAAGAAGATGTTTACCCTCATGTTGAAAAATTCCTTTCAAATTTTTGGATGAACTATTCTTTAAAACAGGTAGTCTCGGGGCAAATGGTAGTATACATCCATAAACTTAGTTAAGGGATTTGTCATGGGCTTTTCTCTATTTCATTGAGGGGATACAAAAAGGAAAATGTAAGCTTTTTTATCTATACAGGCAGCTTTAACAATTTCTTTAAAAAAAAAAATACACTCTATTGTAACCCTCATAAAGACATAATTAGTCTTCCTAGGCTTTTGTTGAAGACTTCTCTTTAAAAGAGACATATGTGACCAATAGTACCTAAAGAATACCCTTTGCCCAAGTATTACTAGTTCCATTTATTGAAACATAAATTAATACAGCAAGAAGATAGATGGGCTGAGAGGAATCCTCACACTAAAACTAGTTTCTGGGCCTCTGTGCACAGACTGTTTTACCCTCAACCCTAAAAATTATGGTATCTTAACCTCTACTATTGCAATATGTGTAGGCAGCATGGCAGTATTTTGATGAGTTTCTCCAAGAGAGTGGGACTGAGACCCTGGCTGTGTGCTAATAAATAGCAAGAGTAAGCAGAACACTGATTCCAGAGTATAAGCAAGGAAAGGGAATATGGCATCAGATCCAGTGTAGCGTTTGACCTGGAGTCTCCAGACAGTCCATGAAATGCTACAGTGGCTCTAAACTCCTTCAAACCTTTGCTAATTCACATGATTCACAGTCAGATTTTCTAGTCCTGGCCTCTGTGCTGTACTTGTGGTCCACTGCAGTTAATCCTAGCCCACCATTATGGCTTTCTTTTGTGACCGAGCAAATGCTAAATCTTAAAAAAATGCTGAACATTTTTATTACCATTAATTTTATCATTTGTTTGGATGAGAATAATGAATTGCCTCACTTGCTTAAGACAATGAATGTGATAATTCCTTTTCCAGCTCTTGAACGTTTCATTTGGACACAGATAATAAGAGACTGCAGTGATGATACACAGTAGTATATAGTACTGTCTCTGGGAAAGAAACTTTCAATAACACACATGTCATTTTTAATATTCTAGTCATTGATAATCTGAATGTGTATGTTGGATGGTAACCAAACTGTATGCACTGTAGATAATGTGTAGGAGAAATATGATATACTCTTATCCAGATCATGTGGTAAATATTCTTGAGCTATTCTATGATTTTTCCTTATCATCATTGTCAAAGAACAAACACTGTTTCTTATTACAAAGTGAGCATAATGGCTTCAAAACTCATTGTTCCTGTATTGCTGAGGTATCACAGATACAGGTTATAATTAGAAGTGTATGACTTGATGCATATGGGTAATACTAATGCAGTTGAGCTTGGCCAATATATTTTGTGTGACATTAATTGTATATACATCATTTGTTTAGTTCTGAAAATGGCAAAGAATTAGTAGGAGTGATGCCTTTCCAAGATGTGAAAAGTTATAGTTTTCTTAGATATGACTCTGGTTTTACTGAATTTTAAATTTTGATGTGGGACAGTATTAACAAGATAATCATAAATGTAGTTTGGAATTTTGTCTTTCAGAGTAATTCACCTATAACAACAATGAAGATTTCATCTAAAAAGGTAAAGAAAAGTGGAATGCTTAGTTTATTGCTTATTGATTGAGATAATAAAGATGTTAGAATACTAGTTGTTGTGCAGCATACTAAATGTAGGCAGGAGACTTTTGGTAATGAATATGGAGAAATTTGACTGAAGTTTGCATGATTATATGCCTCAGAGCCACTAAGATAAAACAACTTCTATTCATTAAGTATAATTTCTAATTCACTGACAGTGTCAATTTTTTTGTTGTTTTGTTTGACAACTAAGGAAAGAAAAAGTGCTAAAAAGGAAGTTTGCCCTCCCATTTTTTTCTGTAAGTCCTAAATATAGATTTTCCCTTGTAAGTCTGAACAATGCAAAAAGGCAGTGTTGGGGCTGTTGGGTCCATGGTGCAATTGTGTGTGCTTGTTTATTAGTAAAAAATTATGGCAATAAGAATGATTCAAACTACTGAAAGTATTTCTACTGAAATGTTAAAAACCCAAACTGAAAATATGTGTTCTGTGATTTTGCAAGCAACAAGTTGTTCGATATTTTACAAAACTACTAAGAAGTAAACTTGAATTCAGTTTAATTTTTTAGTTTTAGACAAAAAGATCAGGGGAGTTTTTAGGTTTTTGTTTAACACTAATTTATATTCTAAAAATAATTGATTTTTTTTTCTGAGTAAAACAGTCATTTTGGCCCAGATGTTGGTGATGACCTAGTCACTTTAAACTCCCTTTGCAAAAGCTCTCATTTATTCTAAAAGTTCTTTTGGCATATTTTTTTCAGGTATATAAGTCTATCAGAATCTGGACCTAAACCTCAACATAATCTATAGTTTTTATGTCTTGTAAATCTATGCACTGGAGAATCCAGCTAGGAACTCTGTGTAATATTTATTAAAGTGACTATATGCAGAGAAAATACTTAGTTCAAAGGCTTGAGCCAATAATCCTCACTGAGTAAGAACCAAATTCTCAAATCTGAGAAATATTAACTCAGCTTGTCTACCTCAGAACAATGACACTCAATGTCCAAAAAACATTAACATTCCCTAGTGTTTCTAAGTATTTTCTAACAGGAAGGTGGAAATATTTTAGTCCTGTTCACCTGGGAGATTTTGTTTATCTTGGCTTTATATATACTAGTGGCTCCTCTCTTGGTCTTGAGTTGATTCCAAAACTAATTGAAAGGTTTTCAGGTGTGTTAGCTGAGACTCAGGTGAAGCTCCTCCACATCTGAAATAAATCTCTCCATTTCCTTCTACAGCAACAGTTGTACGTGAGCTCAGATGAAGGGGTCACCCAGGTATCTTTGCATCGCTGCCACATCTATGGGACTGCCTGTGCTGACTGCTGTCTAGCCCGAGATCCATACTGCGCCTGGGATGGCAATTCCTGCTCCAGATTTTATCCCACAGGGAAAAGGTGAGCAATATTAAGCAGCCTAGTGAAGTCAGCTAGGAAACAAGGCTTTCATTCTACTATGTTGCAATGTGATGGAGAAGTGGGATGCCTTTCCTTTCAGGAACATGTACAAACAATACCTCCATAGCTATTGTGCTTGGCATTGTCCATCGCCTAGGAGCATATGATGCGAGAGCGTATGATAAAGAGCTTTCCTTTTCATATTTAAAGTAATGGACTGAAAAAAATAGGAAGAAAACCCCATTCCTGATCATAAACGTTAATCCTTCTGTCTCATGCACACAAAATCAGTGAAACATTTGCTCCCTTTGTTTAAATTCATTTGCTCACTATAGATGTAATTATGATAGCCCTAAATACAGCAAAGTATCTCTCAGGCTGTCTGAGGAATAAAGTAATTTATTCTTTTTGTTCCTCATATACTCCTAAGTGAAAAGAATTACTTCCAGGGAAATTTTAGGCAAATGTGATTTCCATGTAGTGCCTGCAGATTTGGTGTTTCTGACATGAGATTTATTAAAGCATACAGGGAAAGCAATTTCTCTTTAACTTACAACAGAGCTAATAGTCCATCTCATAATTCTTATGCAAAACAAGAACCTCTTTCCTCCTCCCAAGGGAAATATTTAATAACAGGAAGCTGCAGTGAGCTCTTATGTTACTAAGATTTCACTTCATATACAAACAAAGCTACAGAATACACAATGAGATATTACTGCAGAGGAGACAAACCTTTCAGAGGTGTGCCAGAGCCTTACCCACTGTGTGCTACTGTGCTCACTGCCTGCACCTGAGCTGTAGATACAGAAGACCAGATACAGTTAATGGGCTTTACTCCTTTACCTACATGGTGGGAGACAGTAGACAGAAACAGGCAAAGCCTGGGTCTCCTCCAGTGACCCAACCAGCTGATGACAATGTCAATGCCTGGGATTAAAGACAATTTACTTTTGTTATTGCAATGTTTTCTTGACTCATTCCTTATTTGAGATTAAAAGGTAAAGCCCAACCTGGCCATGTAGGAGTTGATAAAGTACCTGCTGTTTTTACTGCTTTCACTCATCATATTCAGCCTCCAGTCTGCAAACTGATTGTGTTCTTCCATGGAACAAAGTTCAGAAGATAGGAGGAGGAAAGAAAAGAAAAATCCCCAAGTCTCAGGCCACCTAACTCCTACACTAATATAGCTGCCAAAAGATATAACGAGCAGTCAGATATACCTAGCCTGTGCAGTTTCCACTAGATTCCTTGCTATACCCATTATATACACCCAGGGTTATTTCCACTGGGGCTTGCTTTCATGCTGACATTTTGTTTGGAATTTGCTTTTTATATCAAACCTAAATAAACACCTAAAATTGTATGGAAAAAAATCTAATTTTCATATGTTAAGGAAATAAGTGGTCCCTTTATCTAAGAAGAGATATTCTGAAGGAGAAAACATTGTTAATTAGAGCCAAATCCCATAGTTTAGACAGTGGTATCTGCTGGACACATTTGCTTATTCTCTTCTTTTGACAATTCTGTCTCCCATGGGTTACTGTGGCTCCTCATCCAACATTGATTTACCTCAAAACACCTGACAGTATTATCTTTATTTTCTGACTACCACCTTCTCAACTTTTTTTTTTTTTTTTTTTTTTTAGGAATATTAAACTGTAAATTTACATTCTCAGAACCACTTAATACAAGTGGTGTGCCACTTCTGACAGTGTGGGGCAGTTTACAGTAGCACAGGAATCCTGAAATTCACTGAGAAATTCTTCATTGTCTCCTCTGACTCACATAAATAGTTCACAAGGGTTAAGGTCCCAAGGCATAAGATGAAATATTTTTCATGGTAAACAACAAAAATATACTTGGAATGTCAGAAATTACTCCTGTGAAACATCACCTTTCAAAAGTTTCCTTTTAAAGGAAAGGATGTGAAGGATCAGGTGTCAAGGGTTTATAAACACTCTCTGGGTGTTTGTGCAGTACCTGGTATAATATGGCCATAGAGGTATCACCCTTCACTCAATGACACTGGAGCTTCAGGGCCTTTTTATGGTTTTTGATCTTGCAAGTCATTAGTGCATTGTTCACAATACAGCTATTACAAATCCCAGCAGTATCCATTTGCAATAATCTATCAGCAATCCTTTTTTTTGTTGAACTTGATAAATATTGAGCTAATTTACAGAATATTCAGAAACAAAATAATAGATGTTAAAAATAAAAAATTTGCGTGCCAGATTTTCATGCATTGAATTACATGAACCCCTAGCTAGGGAGAGCTGAAATGCCAGTATAACCAATCCCAGTAAGTTCCCTAGCTAATTTGCTGCAGTCATGATTTTGCATCTGTCATCCAAATAACGTAGCAAAGTCCCATTTAGAAGTATTCTGAGGCTTGGTGAGTTTTAATATCTTTTGGAAATAGTCCATACCCTCAGGTAGAGGACAGAACTGAATCTTAGCACTCCACCATTCTGGGTGAATAGTTCAGTCAAACTGCTACCAAGGTGGCTACAGGCACCAAAAATAAGGTGCCTGCCAAAATCAAGGAGGGAATATGCCCTATATTGTAATTTTCTGTTAGTGCAGTAGATATGAGCACTGTGACTCTTGTGCATCTCATTCTTAGGTGCTTTCTTTTATAAAGAGTTCCAGCTGGGACTTTGAATGTTAGGCCTTGCAACAGTGAACCGATGTCTATTTCATGCATCACCTCTATACCTCCACTGCAAAACTGCTTTACCTACCAAAAGTACAAGCATTTTATAAACTTCAGAAAACTGGTCATTCATTTAAACAGTATCTTCACTCTAGCAAGATGGCCAAGAGTAACGCATACTCACAGTATGTCATGAACTATCCCTAACAGTCGATCTATTTAAAAAAAACCAAACCAAAACAAAACAAACTAAAATAAACCCACAAATAAAAAAAAAGTGTTTATTTTCAGTGTAGCTATCTTGGAATAATGTTTTGTTTTTATAAAATATTTCAGGAGGAGTCGTAGGCAAGACGTGAGACATGGAAACCCTCTGACTCAGTGCCGAGGTTTCAACCTGAAAGGTACTATAATTTGGAGATCCTCCTGCTATATAAAGAATGAATGGCTTTCCTTTATGTGATTCATCATAACTCATATTATCTGTATGGTTTACTGGTAAAGCATAATTATTTTCCAGTTCTGAGTTTTGTTTTGATTTGATTTTAACATCTTTCTTTGCAGTTACATGAAACTTGCGTTTATATGATCAAATTATGAACTATGAAATACATAGCTCGGCATACATGAACGAGAAGCTGACAGTGTTGATTAGAAACAGGTACAGTTAATTTGAGGGCTGTTCTACTTCTAAATCCATTGAGTTTTTATTAATTCCTCTTCATGCATTTAAGTCTTGGACCTCAGAATTATTCTACATATTTGAGGCCATATTGTGTTTTAGAGCACATCTTTCAGCAAACAGCAGGTGTTCAACTTGTCTTTTGAGTCACTATTTCTTTTTTCTCCCTTTACAGGGGAAAACAAATGATTCCAAATCTCTTTATGAAGTCCCATATTTCCAGCTGTGCAGCCAGCCTGGCATGGTGCAGGTGGATAGGGGAGCCACTGCTCTGCTTTCCCAGCTACCACTTTCTCCAGATTGATAGACACCAGTCAAATATTGCTAATGTTATAGTAAGAGTAGACACATATAAAAGCAGTTTAACCCTCATCAACCACATGCATGTCTGAGCTAGGCTATGGCAATGTATACCATCAAACCAAGGACACATGTTACATAATTATGGTCCTTACACCTCTGTTTCTGAGCTTGCATTTTGAAGTGCATTCTCATCTGTACCAGCTGGAGACCAAATAATAGACCTGATTGTAAATTTTTGTTTGAATTTTTTGAGTAAGAGAACAATGCTTTAAGAGTTACATGTGAAATTTTCAGTTATTAATAATTCCACTGAAATGGTCTCCCCTGGGTCTCAGAAGAAACTTATGCATCAAAACAAACCACAACGGTCAGTTGGATGGAGATCCCTCAGTCCAAATATGGCTGATCCTGCTCTAGCTGCCAACCTACAGCACCAGCGGGTCTTTCCACATGACTCAGTATTAGGTCATTTATGTGAAGCTGAATAGCTTGAACAGGTAATTACAAAAGATGACCCCACCATTAGTGTATGCACCTGAGCTCTGACAGATCCATATTAAAGCTTAGGCTCTGAATCATGAAGTAACTTGAACTGCGTGTCCTACCTTGCAGGCATGTGCTGTGACCACTCACCCATTGTCTGTCCCAAGAGTGGGTGTCTCCTCTTTCTGTGTGGAAAATGTGAGAATGTCAACTGTCTGCTTTATGGGCTGAGGGGAAACAAATGTTTAAACTTTGACAGTCTTGTGAAACAGGTTTCTTGTTTTCCAACCATTTCTTTTTAATGTGTATGTATTTATAGGTTTATGTGTTTTAGCAACTTTATAAAGGATGTTTTGGTGACAGCAGTGGGATATAGCATAGGTAGACAGCAGTTGTTTCCCCAGTGGGGAAAAAAAAAAAAAAAAAAAAAAAAAAATAGAAAAAGAAACAGCAACTTAGACTCTTTCAAAATATAATTAAAACCATTTATAGCAAAATTGTGTTTGGGGAAAAAATGAAATCTACCTAAAGGACAAAAGCAGAGAGTCAGGCAGTAACAAGAAATCTTCCAAGTTCATAGGGAACCCTAATCTTGAAACAGTCTTTAAACATGATAGCTTGCATGCTATAGACTTCTCAGCATGTATAAACTCAACATTTTTGGCATATTGCAATTTTTAAATATATCATCAAGAACTAAAGGGTTTGTATGATTGTTTTTCAAATGTTCTGTTTAATATTGTTATACTCATGTTAGCCCTTATGGCCATTAAAGAAATGCACTTGTATTCTCTCAATCTTTTTCTTAGCATGTATAAATAGTAGTACTATGGAGTAGGTAAGAAGTTAGATATATATTGATCAATTAAACAGACAAAAATGCCTTTCTCTGGTACACCTAGTTCCTGTGTACATAAAACTAATAATATGTTACAGCTCTGACTCTCACTGTTCCACAGATACAGATAGCTCAGCCCACAAATAAGCCTGTTGCTAGCTTATGGTCTTTGAATGTAAAATATTTCCATATTATTATTCTCCTAAAAGTTACAATAGATTTTGGTACAATCTCATAAATCTGCGAAAAACTTTGAAGGACTAGAACCAAATAAAGTCTCCTTACTTCAGTAGAATAGGTTCCAATTTCACATATCAGTTGATGAAAGAAGCTGAAAAGAATGGGAGATAAAGTAGAGTCTGAGGAAAACCAGTCTTAGAACTGCACAAAACCAGAGTCTGATTTTAGACCTGTCGACCTCTAGCTATTTGCATTTCTCATACTATTTTGTATCCATTGCTTCTTTTTTTAAAAAAAAAAAAAAAAAAAAAAGAAAAAATATAAAAAATATTGTATTTTATATATGATGTAAGCTCTTAAATTTGGAAGTGTATGGTTTTCAGGACAAATATTACAATTTGGACCAAGCAATGAGCACATAAAAGTTCCTATCAGTAACTGCCAATTGTTCATCTGTCAAGACTATAAAGGGGCACAGCAAGTCTAAGCGATGACACATGCTCAGCACTTGCCCAGGTGTTGCTGGAGTGCTATAAATCTGTCTCGTTCTCTGTTGCTGGCCTGTCTATGTATTCGTTACATTTCAGATTTAGAGCCAAGTCCCTTCCTTGCTTGGTAAGAGAAGCAGAGGAGTGGGAACCAAGTCTGCCCTCTCTCGCCTCCCTGTGATGCTGCACACAGCCAGAATAGATGGAGCCCTCTTTAGGGCATGCTGCTGTATTTTGAGTCATATTTCCCCAACTCATAAACCGTGAAATGTGAAGAAATATATTAAACGTTTCATTCTCCTTTTGATAGTTCTAGACAGGCATTCCTGTAGTAGTAGAGAATGAGATCATTTTATGGAACAATATCCCTGAGATCAGCTATTCCATCATCAGAGCTTACCAACCCACAAGTATCCTACTTTCTCAGAACAGTCCATGTCGGATTGAAAACACTAGTATTTGCAACTGGATGTGCTTCTTCACATTTCACTTAATTTCTCTGAAAATTTTGTGCCCTACATTACTTATAATTGGCCAGTACTAGGGTCGGATATACTTCATTGTACCTGTTTTGCAAACTTTTTACCTGTATTGCAGTTAATTGCTTTCTATATCGAATCACAGTTCACAGTAGCCTGACCTGTTTCTTTTTCTTTCTAGCATACAGAAACGCTGCAGAAATAGTTCAGTATGGAGTGAAAAACAACACCACCTTTCTTGAATGCACACCCAAATCTCCTCAGGCTTCTATTAAATGGCTGCTACAAAAAGACAATGACAGGAGGAAAGAGGTGAGTAATGTGAGCAGGAGCTCTGGAAGGGACATTGATCAGCATCTCATGCCTTCCCTGGACCAAGGCGAGGGAGCGTTTCTGTTTTCATCAGACAGTCCAGATATAGTGAAGCTGGAGAATTTGTGTGAATGCAGGACAGTGACCAGCATTTAACTCATATAAACAAGGGCAGACTCTTCAATATAGCTGGGACTTCACTCCGCAGCCCCAGTGATTTCTATTGGACCAGAAAATTTCTATTCTATTCTATCAAAAAAATTCCGTCAGCCCCTAAAGTCTGGGAACTAGTTAATTTTTCCTTCACACCTTACTAATTTCAAACTGAAGGTTTTCAGCACTCAGAACTTCTTATTGATCTGAGGAAATAGGCATAAAAACAATAACCTGTATAAAATTCAGGAAGAAGTCATCATGCAGTAGCCCTTCTATGCTGTTGAAGAGAAAAAAGACAAAAGTGGGAGAAATGTGAAAGGTTTTTTCAGCAAGAAACTAATCCAGGCTAAGAACACAAATTGACAAAAGCATTTCCCCACCATGGTACAATCACATTTTCCATTACTGCATTCTCTAAGGCGCTCAAATTTCAGTACTATAATATACAGTATGATTGTTTATGGGGAATGTGCCTTCCTTAAGTAATATGAAGGGGGAAAAAATCCACTTAAAATCCCAAGCAGTTACTATATAAATAAAAAGGAACAACTTTTGAAAAAAACTATTAATATGCTGTCTGTTGATAGTTTATAAATACTGAAAAGCATTATTCTCTTATCAGGCCAATTTCCAAAATTGGAGAGGACTTACAATCCTTTCAGTGAGTCTTTCATGCTCTTTTTCCCACTTACTCTTCAAAGATTCAAACCATGTCCTGACAATGTAGGTGCAATTCTTTAACCCTTTGCTTCAGCAGAACATCTCCCCTTTTTGTTCTTATGTTCAATGACTGTATTAGAATCAATGCAGTTTTAAATAACAATAGACTAAAGCAATCAAAGGGTTAATTACATTTCAAGCTCTCAGATTTCTGGAAATCTTACCTATACAATGCCTACAAAAGTTTACAATAATAGAATAGCATAATAAATAAATGAATTCCCAAGAGAATAAGGTATAATGCAAAGTGCAGTGGCAAAACAGTAAAATCATTCATAAAAATACCAGCACTGATATTCTTTCATAATGAGTTAAATTCATTATTTTTAAAATTCCCAGCTGTTATACAAATGGACACATGCACAGTCATTTATAATCGGTTGATAACTGAACAAGCTGTGGTAACTTGCTTCCTTCAGATGATATGACCATCTCCTGGGCCTGTCCAGAGTCTGAAGCCAGAAAAGAAATAGGTGGAGTAGAAAAATTGCTCTTGCTTGCCAGTGAGCCAAATCCCAGCTGAGGCCACTGTGATGAAAACTTTTATACCAGGCTGTAGACTCTGTGGTGCAGATAGAGTTCTTCAGAAGTTAGCTCCAGGAACCTGCTCAAAGTCAAAATACGTAACTAGAAGTCACTTTGTGTTCAATGCCAGATCAACCCCCAATTCTGCCCAACCCCCAGTTCTTCACCTTCCTTCCATTGAGTCTCAGCAGCAATCTCTGAGGCTGGAAGAGACAGTCTCAGGGGTGTAACCCGGCAAATAAAAGCCAGTTTCCTCAGATCTGCTATTTGAACATGATGAAAACTCTTCTTTCATGTAGTCTCCAGATTTGCATCTTTGTCTTGATCTTAATCAAATCTATTGTAACATGACGAATAAAAATATTGAAGTGATTTTCTTTAGTGACACTTACCTACCTTAAGGTAAGTCCTCTCCTAACAGTAGCAATAACAGTGGTCTCTAGGAGATGTGATAAAGCAAAATATAATGCCTTTAAGAAACCCTTTAAGAGAGAAAGAGGTGTTTGAAGTGAGACTTACCAAGAGGTTCAATACTGTGTTGTTCCATAACATTCTCTAAAAAGTTCCTTCTGCCTTTTTGCCCTTTAGGTCAAGCTGAATGAGAGGATCATAGCTACTGAGCAAGGACTCCTCATTCGCTCTGTCCAAGACAGCGACCGGGGGCTTTACCACTGCATCGCAACAGAGAACAGCTTCAAGCAGACTTTAGCAAAGATCAATTTCAAAGTGTTGGATTCGGAGGTGGTGGCCTTCATGACTGACAAGTGGTCCCCTTGGACCTGGGCCAGCTCGGTGCGAGCGCTGCAGTTCCACCCAAAGGACTTTGTGGGAGCTTTCAGCCACTCAGAATTGCAGATGATTAACCAGTACTGCAAAGACAGTAGACAGCAAGGTCAGCAGAGGGAAGAAGCCCAGAAGATGAGAGGGGACTACAGCAAACTAAAGGCCCTTATCAATAGCAGAAAAAGTAGAAATAGAAGGAATCAATTACCTGGATCTTAATGTTATTTTATAGCAATAGATATCTCTGTCCTCACTGTAGCGGGCTTGTATTTGTCTATTGAGAACAAATTTGAGCAAATCTAATAAAAAATTAAATGAAAATCCAACAAGCCACAGAAAAGATCCCTCTCCCAATAAAATGCAGTGTAACTTAACTAAAGAAAATAGTTCAGAGCATTTTCTTTCCTAGATTCTTGCTGTCACTAGGTTGGGCTCTGTCCTAGAGGCAGAACTGGGTATTCATCTTAAACTAGATCCACCTTTAACATCTCAGTATTTAATTACAGCTGAATAGAAATTTTTACAATATCAATGCATTATCTTACAACTCTGGAACTACCAACCAGACTGGTGGTGAAAGAATCTAGGTTAAGATGCATGCTGAAAGTAAGATTTCCTTGCGCTGCATTTAAGCATATGAGTTTCTTCTTGTTTACTGTTTAATATTGGGTTTACAGCTTTCACTCATTGTTCAAATCATGTGAATGCATGCTGATAGGAAGAAAGTAAATTATAGTAGAAATGTTTCATTCATTCAGAGGCCAAATAAAGGAACAAATAGAAGAAAAAAAAATAAATTTATACTTTATTGGAGGAAACACTGATTATTGTGCATAGTATGAGTTGTAATAAATTAATGAGTTCTGGAATGTAACTTAAAGTATCTCTGCTCATATTGATTTTTATTAAAGTAGGGTGTCCTATAACACTACATAGCTTTATAAGTGGCACAAAGCTAACATGAGAATGTTCGTTATACTTACAATTTTAAAAAACACCTAAGTGACTTAGGTATTTTAGCTATTTTTCAAAGAATTACACTCCAATTTATTTCAAAGGACAGGGTATACTGTATAATGTTTACTCAGAAATTAAAAACATAGATTATCTTTAATCTGTTCCTTGATTAATTTGGAGCTGGTCTGCAATGTGGAAACAAGTCATTAGTGACTTTGAAAATTTTAAAACATTTTTTCAAATGTTTTCTCAAAGTTGCAAATAATTTAACTACAATTCTTAAATAATCCATTTCCATTTTCCAGTCTTTGTACCCTTTCTTTTTTCAATGTTATTTTCACAGTTTCCTATTCTTTTCAGTTTTCTGCTGAAAAGAATATCAGGAAAAGAGAAAGAGGAAAAAAAAAAAAAAAAAGAATGAGGGAAAAGTAAAACTGAAAAATGGGTTTGGGTCAATAAACCAAAAAGTATAACAACTTGAGAGGCACGTTTAAGCAGAAATATTTTTGTTTAAGAAGCATCTGTCAGGTCTAATGAAGAATGTTTAGTTGAAAATTGTGTAAATGTACATCAACACATCCTGGGAAAAACTATTACTTTTTTTTTTTCTTCAAGCAACACTGATGGCAAAAAATAGGGACAAATCTTCCTCATTTTACTGTCTAAGTGTGTTCCAAAAGTCACTGAGTCTATTCAGAGGAGATAGATAACAGGGATTTAAAATGTATGAGTATCTTAGAAAAATTGTGGTTTATTCCATAATATTTTATGATAGTATACAAAAATATAAACTAACATTCAGCTCAAAAATGAACTAAGTTAAGCTAAAAAAAAAAAAAAAAAGATAAATTTCTGGAAAAAAAAAAATGAGTGAAAATAATTTCTGGACACAGATAGAAGAAAAAATATTTTTTAAAAGTTGTTAGTTCCAACCAGTAACAAGTGGGTACCGTATTTTGAAAGATACTTTAAAATCTTTTAATGGGTCTTTGTTGAAACTCTTTGGGCATTATTTTGATTCTGTTTCTGTTAGAATACTCTGTGAGTAACTCTACAGAGTGGAGGAGAACACCTCTGGGTTTGTGCCAGTGTGAATTAAGATCTAGTGCAAGGGACTTAACTCTGGTATTTACCTGATATCAGTTAGATGTGTCACTTTATCACCACCTGATGCAGAATAGCTGGGAAATGGGCCCTGATTGATCAAACCACTTAGGCATTGTCTCTAAATCCCTTTGACACTGGTGGGGGATCTTTAATTTGTGTGCTTGCTGTTTGCTTCAAAGGGGATTGCAATTCCAGCAATTCTGTACTGTCATCTAGTAAAGTTCTTTCCTTAATCAAGGCCTAAATGCATATTTCTGCAATGTGTAGCCACTGGTATCAAAGGTCTTTCTTATGGAAACCATTGGGAAACTGACTTCAGTGAGCTTGGATCTGGCCCAAAGAGCTGGCAAAGCAGAATCTGGAGGAAAAAAAAAAGGAAAATGAGATAAAGGGTTTATTTTTTTGTTCCCTCACCTGACTTTCAGTGCAGCAAACTACTTTTTTCTTTCTTTTTTTTTTTTTTTTTTTTTTTCTGAGGATGACTGACTTCTGAAGTGTGTAAGTGACAAACCAAAAATCGAGTGCCAGAAAATAGAACTACCTCCTGGAATGACGTTAGTGCATATACTCTATATGCTGCCATGATGCTCTTCCTATTTCCCCAGCAGATTTACTGCAGAGTTAGTGTGATACTGATGTCTATTGTGAGGATCATAATTGCTTCCAGATGGAATACAGTGATTAATAGGTATTTAAGGGTACAATTTACCCTTTAAGTGGTTAGGTACAGTGATATTTTAATAGGCCCCCATTAGGCCTCAGAAATTATAGTTACACTGTTTTCTAATAGAATATTGGCAATAAGGGATTCCGTTAAAACAATCAGCATAGCTCGGAGTTTCATATGATTATAAAATAATATTTTTAAAGCTGCTTCAGATACCATTATTATGGTATGACTGTTTAAGGGATTATACTTAAACTAACATTTTTCCTGCTGCATGAAAACTTCAGCATATATATAATAAGCTTCTGTCAGTGCGTAACCGGTCCAAGCTTCCATGCTTTAACAGCCTTCCCCTGTGTATAGAGTAGTCAGGAGCCAGATTCTCAACTGCTATAATCTCATGTAACTTCCTTGCTGTCCATTTAGCTACTGTGGTTTATATCAGCTGAGGGTTTTGCCCTAAATGTACAGAATAGACAAACTGCAATTTTTATTTGTTTAAAGTAGCCCCTCTACTGTAGGTAACACCAAAACTTAAGACTGTAATATTGTTTGTGCTATTTAATACTTCCTATTTTAAGGATTACTAAATAATGTATATAATTTTATTCCTCAAAAAGTACAAAAGCAAAATGACTTGTAGGCATAACTTCACCAAATGTAAAGATACGTTCTCTGCTAAGAACTTCACCATGTACTGATTTTTTTTTTGGCTATTTTTATTTTGTGTAGTTTGTAAAGTTTGCTGAAATCTGATCTAACAATGTGTTCTTTGCAATTGTTGTTACTGTAGATATGTGTGTTTTATTAAGAAAATCTTGTTTTTAAAAGTGTACGTCTGTCTATAAGTTCCTAGCATGATGAAACTGTCATTACAGTGAATATGCATTATATAGTGTGTAAGAAAGAACAAAATGTAGTTTAACATAGTGCTATTTAATTGAATATCTAAAATACTATTTGCTTGACAAAATAAAGTGTGTTGCAACAACTTAAAAATTTGTCGTCTTCCCCATTATAGGTATATGTTAAAAATAAGGAACTTTTTTTTTTTTAATCTGAAAGACAATCCCATAAACTGTATTAAACAAGTCCAAGAAAATCCTCGGGGCATCAGGTATTGTGGCTGATCAGTTCACTTTGGGCTGAACACTCAGTCACAGAGATTTCCAGAAGTTCATGAGGAGTCAGAGATTAATTCTTTCAGAAATTATCCCATATAAAGATGTTGCATATAAGCAGGTTAACTTTTATTCAATGTAAAAAAAAAAAAAAATTTGTTTTTCTACTAGAAATATAGTCAATTAGAAAAGTCTGACTAAAGAAGGGTAGTGAAGTGTAAATATTTTCTTCTTTTATTCCACTGAGAAAAAAACCTACAAAATGACCCCAAACAAACAAAAAAACAAGTGCATTCTGTGAAATCCTGCTGATGAAACAAATTGTGCTGTTCAGGTTTATCTTTCAGCCGTGACTTGAGGCATTCTTCAAGCAGCTCTGCAGGGGAGGCAGGCTGGTGGGGCTGCGCCCCAGGGAGCCGCAGCTCTCCCATTTCCTGGCTTGTACTTGGGAGTGAAATATCCAGCCTGACACCTCCAGTATGTTCCTTTTTCCTGCATCTATCATGCAAGCAGTGTTATTGCTGTTCTTCTTATCGTCTGTTTTTCCAGATGACTTTTAACAAGAAAGCATAGAGGCTCCTCAGTTCTTTGGGATAATAATTAAAAATTAAATGTTACAAGTACTGACTGTCACAATTACTGACCGTCACAACAAGGTTCTGAGTCATTAAACCTGGATTTTGATTTCCCAGATAGATAGGTTCCTGCAAGACTTTATGAGGTGTGAGTGGATAAGATTACCTTACTCCAGGATTTCTGTACTGGCTGGTTCCTTGATGTGCTGATACTGGAGAGTTACCTGCTCAGCACTCTGGCCAGCTTGGGTCGGAAGCTGAGGTTTTGAGCGCTCCCACATGCTGTAGGAAATGTTTGGATTAGGCTCCAAAAAAGCTGGGCATTTACAGAGTTTTACACTCTGAGAAACGTATGCCAAATCTGATACTCTGTCTTTATTATCCTGCTCAGTTGTGTTTGCTGATCTCCTCCGTTATCTTTTCTTCCCCCTCTGGCAGGGTTGCAGCAGTTCAACACTTAGGTCTTTGATTCATTAATTCCGAGCAGTGGCAAAACAAGACACAGGACTTTTCCAGACATCAGATGTGAGATCTTCAAAGATCTGAGCTATCTCCTTTGTCTTTCAAATGTCTGCTGGAATTTATTATTTTTTTTTCCATCTGAGAGCTACTGTGTTTACTAAGGTCTTTCTTCTGGTGACAAGACCTCTCTAATATCATCTTTCAAGTGAAAAAAGGATGCAAAACCCACACACTTATACAGTCTGTTGTGATGTATATGTCCATGCAGGATCCCTGTCGGACAGAGCAGTGTCAAGTGCAGCCTCCGCTACACAGCCACAGAAGCCCAGAGGCAACCAGTGAAAAATGTTGCCTGCACTGGAGGCACTGCTAGCAGTGGGGTGGCTACCAATACTACAGGATGATTGTTGCTTCTGGAATTAAATCAGCAGCTGTAATTCTGTGGGGCAGGCCATGAAAGCAGGTTGAAGCACTAAGGCTTTTGCCTAAAGCAAGGGACTAGGTCTCAGGAGAGCAATATTTCTTTATCCTTTCCACTGCAGCTGGCTCTCTAAGCCCTTCTTGTGCACCCCAAGGAGGTCTGGGGAGAAGTGACTTCATCTGATATAAGCCCAAGTAAAACTACACACAGATACTCACCAGCAGGTTCCAGATAGATACATGTATACATACAACTACCTGCATACAGAAAAGCTTTTCTTTCCCTACAGTATTTGCTGATCCATTTAGCTTCCTTTAACATTACTGTATGTCCTTTTTCTGTTTCAGCATGGGCAGAATCAGACCTCATGGTCCCAAGACATCAGTAGCTTGTGGGTAGAGCAGTTACCATCTCTGAGAGCATTTTAAAAGACAAGTAATCAGTCAACAAAACCCTTTTCTTCTAATCAGTCCCCTTTCTAATTTACCTTCTTCTGCACTATCTCAACAAGAATCTCCTTTTAGCATCAGAAGACTAGCACAGTGTAAGAAATAAAAAAAGTGCTGTCATTTAATGTGTCTGATCTAAACTAAAAACTGAGATTTAAAGATGCTTTGGCATTCTGAACACTCCAAGGCATAAATTCAACACAGCTGGCTCAGCAGTCAACAAATAATTACTTTACAGTGATAGACTGTCCTGTATCCCAGGACTCATTATTGGATTCTATATAAAGCTTTACAAAGCAAACAACATTCGTGTATTCTTAGCACTGTATCAGCTTCATTACTTCTGATTTAAATGCCAGCCTTATAAACAAACCCGAAAGTCTGCTGAGCTCCACATTCAAAGCAGCTTAGGCCAAGGGATTTCAAAATATTCAACATTGTAAAAAATCCTAAAATTTTTTCAAAGATTTTTAGAAAAAGCAAATTAAAAAAATAGCTAGTATTGTTGTCCGTGGGAAATGAGAGTCAATAAGAAAGACTGTTTTCTAGCTGAGCAAC